CGGGCCGGGAGAGGAGGCTGCTCCGCACGGCCTCAGCGCCTCCCGGGGGGGCTCCAGAGGGAGCGAGCCGCAGACTCGGGGCTGTGCCCAGCCCGGCTGCCCTGGCTCTCCGTCGGCAGGTGACTTCACCTGCAGCGCCGGCTGGACATCTTGTGGTATCTCAGTGCCTTTGGCTGCAGCGAGGGGGTCGGGCAGTACCTGTGCCCAGTGCCTGGGACGTGGAGCCCGCCTCAGAACCTTCATCCCGGCCCCCCACACATGTCCGTGTAGCGCTGACAGCTCCCCATCTGCTCAACCTGCGTCTCTGGGGGAGCACGTCTTTATCAAGAACCCTTTATCAAGGATTCTGGCTGCGTATTTGAGTTTAGAGACGCTGACCACATGCAATTTCAGAAGCATGGTGGAGTAGGATGGGTGGCTGCTTTAAACAGCTTTAAACCTTTTTTTTTGTAGGTGCTATTGCACCTGGACTTGTTCAGCCGTCACCAGACATTTGGTTTGCATTGTGGGTGTTATTTGGATGCTTTCCTTCTCTTTTGAACTGCAAAATCAGTGCTGGGGCAGTGTGAGCTTATCAAGTAGTCAATCATCTAAAACACTTTCACCCTCAAAATAATATTTTTATTTTTCTTCTTTTAAATTTCTGGATGTGAAACTTGCTGAAGAGAAGTGAATTTTAAGATTAGAATTTAAGTACTTCCACTGGAAGACAAGTTTCTCAAAATAGGAGTTTAAAGAAGTGGCAGATGAATTGCTTGCTTTGAAGCTTTTATTTTCAATAATCAAAAATGTTGTGATTTGCTGAGCAAACACCGAGTCAAAAGGAAACCTGGAGTTAAGATCCGAGTATTCTTGGCACTTGTCTATCAATGAGTCCACTAAAACAAATTCTATCTTAGCAGTTCATAGGCTTCTTGTTTGAGCAGGTAAAATGCAGTCACAAGATCCATACATTCAAGCCTCTCCAGAGCAGTAGCAGTAACTTGAAATCACTAAATGAAGGCAATAGTTTTAGTTGAAATGGGGGGGAGGACTGGGTGGCTCTTCTCAACAAGCTGGCTTTTCAGCTGCTTGTGTGAATCTCGATACCATTGTCTTCCACATCTGGAAAATGCAACTTATACAATTTTTAATTTTTTTTTATTTTTTTTTAAAAAAAAAGGTGATAATTTGGTAAACCTTAGAGAAAAGTGCAGTATGACAATAAGTATTTTAGGAAGCACGTTCTGTTTTTGTTTAATTGCTATTTCTTCTTTCACTGATTGTTTTTCACAGGAGTATTTGTGCAATTTAAGGTAAGAAAAATCTAGAACCTTTTATTTATATAGTTTTTAAAAAGTCGAGATTAGAAAAGATCAAGTAATTAATTACTTAATTCTGTGTCAGTGTGCTTTCTGACATGGTATTAATTCAATTAAGTCCTATCTAAGTGATGTCTAAAGATTTTTGCTTTTTAAGTGTTTTTCATATTTTTGTAGCTTTTTAGATAATTTATATGTGGTTATACAGATCCTGCTCTTTTTGCTACCCTTTATCTTAAATTTTAGAGGAATAAGCTAATCTAATACATTCCTGAAATACTGTTTAGTCTTATTTTTAAGCAGAGGACCTAGAAGAAGAAGAATATTTTTTTCCAATCAGAATCTGAGAAGACATAATAATAAGTGGGGCAAAGAATCCCAGGACCGGCTCCAATGGGAGAGTACACAGGGGAAGAGTTACCTAAGCAGCTGCTCTTCTAATTGGTCAATATTTGTTAGAGATGATAATTTGTTAATCTTAAAAAAATTCATAGAAATCCAGTACTGGCATGCCCCCAGCCCATATCTGTGGAGGCACCTGGAAGCTTCCAATAAAGACCTGCTTTTTTATCTTACCATTTTAGTACTGTTGCAAGGGGTTTTCATCTTTTGATATCAGGCAGCATAGGAAACACTGAATTAGATGGTGATTTTTTTTATTTTTTTTTTTTTGATTCAGGCTGTATAAAATTCAGAGTGCCAGGGGAAAAAAAAAAAAAAGGTTGTTATCAGCCTTGCTGCCACAGTAGAAAATAAGAGAAAAAAAAAAAATTTTTCAAATAATATGTATAATTAAATTTCCGGTTGTTTAGAGGGTTTATGGCAAATGTTCCTTTTCATTCTTAGCTCATTACAAAGCACTAATGAAATGAGATGGCAGTCTGGTTAAAAAGATGACATTTTATGTATTTAGACAATGGAACAAATAAAAAAATCTACTGAGTGTAGATGCAATGTATTATTTTCTTATTTGTTCCTGCACATATAACTGATATTAGTGAATTATTTAGCATATTTTTCCTGCTCTAAAAAAGATTTTTTTCTGAATCAAGGCTATGTGATAGTATCTTGTTATTTTCACTTCACTAAGATTTAGGTCATCACTTTACCAGCTATTTCCTAACCTGATGGGTTCCAATAACACTGAAGGGGTTTGCTTTGTTCTGTTTTTTTTTTTTGAGGAGATACATTTTGAGTGATTTGTAAGATCTGTCCAGGTATTAATAATGAAGGAAGTTGGATTCTTATGGATTACATAGATGAGGAGTGATTTCAGTGCCCTTCAGCTGTCAGTAAAAAGCCAATTACTGTTCTGCAAGGAAACTTCCACCTCCAGCAGTCTGTCCTGTAATTTTTCTAAAGTGTCTCGTACCAGTTTTCAGCAGACCCTGGGGTCAGTTTCCTGCAGAGGCTTTCTGACCTCAGCACCTGGCTGAAACCAGCAGCTGTAATAGACAATGTGACATCTGCCTACAGCCATGCAGTCCTGTATTTCTTGCATGCTCTAGAACCCTTAGTGGTTTTTGGGATTTCTCCTCGAGGTACTGCCAGAGACCTCTCATCTCAGAAAAGTCTGAGCAAGGCAAGCTTTGAGAAGTGACTGAAATGTTTGTTCCATCTGAACTTTCTTTTTTATTGGTCATATTGGTCAGCTAACCCCACTGCTATTGTGTGAGGTCAGAAAGCTGTTCAGAGAGACAGGTATTTTCAGAAGTCTTAACCTCACCTCTGTGAAACCAAAGCTTCCTCCAACTTCACTGAATGTCCAACAGAGAAATTTTTTGTTGTCAGTTTGACCATTGATGGCTCTATGTGTTTTTACTGTTGCTGACAATTTGTACTACCCACCTGATCACGTCTTACATGCAAAAGAAAATGCTGAAAAATCGGAGTGCTTGTTATGGATAAAGGATACCCCATATCTGCAGTGCTTGCAGGAGCAAAGAAGATGAAGAGGGAAGAAGCTCACACTTCTCTAGCTTTAAGTGTCTGAAGGGTTTCCTCTTGAAATGGGGAATCAGTATTCTGCATGTAGCTGTGGTAGTCCATACCAGGGCCTGGGTAGGCAGGAAGATGCAGAAACCAGTTTTTCTCTTCTTCTCTAGCTCTTCTGGCTCAAACATACACAGTGCAGGGGTCCATCATTCTGCACAGAGATCTTCTTGTGACAGGATAGGGTGGAACAGGCATGCCAAAATGTAACTGGGCACAGTATTTGCACTGGTTTTGTTAGGTGCTTCTGCACCGATTACTACAATGTAGCACAGACCTGACTCATTCCATGCTGGAGGTATGGCTGCTGTCCTGATGGCTCCTGCCTTCTTTGGGATGGCTCACTGCTAAGAGTAAGTGTTTCTGACCCTGGTATATAAACTTTTGGGGAACACCTCAACTACAACAGAAAAAATATTTTCCCTGTAGCAATGAGGTCACAGAAGCAGGAGGTTATGCCTTTCTTCTGTGCCCAGCTGCTGGAACTGCTTAGCTGACAGGTATGGAGATTTGAGGACCATTGCATGTGTATTTTTTCTGATTCTTGGCACAGATGTGAACAGGTCAGACATACAGGTTGTTGAGAGTTCTGCCACAAGGCATTGATTTACATTCTTCTTCCAGCAAATGTGTGTTGCAGGAGAGGAGTCAGAGATTTACCAATGGTAAATTAAGGTTTTAATATTTAACAGCTAATAAGTATTAAGTACAAATAGGTATTCTAGTATTTACTAAGTACAGGTGGATTAGAAGTCAATGCTCTACACTTAAAGTTGTGATGGAATACAAAGGTTATTGAGGAAGTTTCTTATAAAATAATCTTCAGTGTTGCATGCAGGTAAAAAATATCACCAGCTCATCCATGTCTGGTGCCAGGTAAAGGGTCTTACAGCTTCAAGGGTAACCTTGAGAGGTGTACCTCCTTGAGGGGAGATCACTGCCCTGCAGCCAGGTGCTGTGGAGGGACAGCTCAACAGATACTACAGTGTAAATGATTGATTTGTAGTCAATTTTTCTGCTATTGATGCAATTCCTGCCATTTACCAGTCCAGTCCAGTCACCAGTTTTGGTTTGCTGCTGAATTCTCACTGACACAGGAGGATTAACCTTGATTAGAACTACTTGCTAAGCATCTGAGTGGAGCAAAGCTCACTTGGTTCAAGTAGGAGGAGTGCATCCAACACAATGTGCCACAGAGATCTGCCTCAAGTGAGGCATAGCTCCTCGGCATAAAGGATCTTTTTGGGTATTATTCTGGGCTTGCCAGTGCACTGGGACAGCACTGGTGCTGTATTCCCAGGGGTGCTTCTCTGTGGCATTTGTCAGAGTTGTGCAAGTGCAAGCATATGCATTAGCAGTTATCACAATGTTTTATTAAAATGTATGATTAATTAATAAGAGTGCATGCATTAGGGAGAAGAGCAGGTGTAAAGAGATATGGTCTGCTGTATGCAAAACTTTAATTGACTCTGTTTTTGCAAACAAAATGGAAATGCTCAAATATTTAATCTGGAAAAGGCTGTGAGGAAAAAAAACCCAAATGCAATTTAAAAGGACTGCTGTTCTCTGCAAACATCTAAACAGAGCTGGCTGTTTGGTATGTGGATTTAGTCATGACTTTAAATAATAACCAAATCTTTTCCAAATCTGAGTATCTACATGCTTCACTTGCTGCTTTTTCCAGTTTGTTGTCTCTATGTGATTTTAATCAGCTGTAGCATGCTGGATTAATTTTATTTGTATTTTTTAATACAGTATACTTATTGCATCCCAAATGGAACCAACATATGCCAGGAGAGTTTACCCATGTTTTGATGAACCTGCCATGAAGGCCACATTTAATATCAGAATTATCCATGACCCAAGCTATGTGGCTCTTTCCAACATGCCTGCTATTGGTAGGTAAACAACAAGTTGATGTATGTTTTTTTTCTCCTCCTACATTACTTCTAAAAAGGGTGCAATTCATCTGAGAAGTTTACATCATCCAAAAAATGTTCTGTTGTCTGTTTGCTGATGTCTTCAAAAGGCGCAGAAAATCTGTGTCTATGAACTTAAAAATTTGGGCACCATTATTCATAATTAATGTCTCTGATGCTAACAGTTCTGTCAAACCATTTTATCAGTTGTGGTGTGCTCTCCTCTGCCTGCTGGAGGCTGCACAGAGTTTGATTTCTGGCATTTACCACTTAGTTAGTGTGTTTTGTCTTACTGTGTGGCATCATTTTAAAGCAAAATGGCAGCCCTGGGAATGCAAAGCCTGTATTTGTGACATCAAGGGATTCCTTTAATTCTCAATAGATGCTAAGATATTTATAGCAAACATAAATTTTTTTTCCAGACACATTCTAGCCTCCTGTGTAAGTACAGAATAAGAAGTAGAGGACTAAAAGGCTCTGGAGATGCTTGTTCTGTCCCTTACTGGGATCTCATGTGAGATGTCTGTGGGGTATAAGATTCCAAACAATTCCCTAAATTAGTATTCCTAGAGAAATCCATTGAGTCACTTGCCTCTTTCTTAAAAACACTTTTTTTGCATTTCAATGCCATGAATCTTTATTTTTCAACTAAATAAATTTCAGCCATAAAAGGAATTTTTATGACGTTTGCATTGAAACTTAGGAATAGGTGGGATTGCTGTGAGAATCACTGGAAGCATTTTTTACCCCAAAGGATCTTGCCTATATCCTCCTTACTTGGAAGGAAGGTATCTGATTAAGTATTTAGTAATACTTAGGCAGCCATGCCCAATATTTTGATCATAACAGATTGTATGTTTTAGGTAGAACGAGATAAATTATCCCCAGCCTGCCCACAATTTAAAATTGATGGAGTCTGGCTGCTCTCCTTCTACCAGGAACATATGAGCTAGTGCAGGAATACACCATTTTGAAGAAAGTGGTGAAAAAAAAAACACGCAGAAAACACAAAAGTCCTTGTTTTTTATGGAAAAACTTAGGTTTGAATATTTCTTTAACTTTTTTTCCTAGATGTATCTGAAGTGAAGGATGAAAATGGAAGCCTGTGGACAGTGACCACATTTAACACTTCACTGAAAATGTCAACTTACTTGACTGCTTTTGTGATTTGTGATTTCGATTATGTCACCAGAACTGAGCGGGGAAATGAGGTAGATATGAGGCTGCCTAACATTGTAGAAATTTACAACAGAAGCTGGCCCTCTGATGCATCCTGTGGTTTGAAGACCTCACAGATGTTAACTGTGCTAAATACCATTCCCAAACTATCTGCTTGTGTTGCAAAACTGCTAACATTTGTCCCATAGATATTTCTGCAAAGCTTTCCTTTGAGACAATTAGTTTACTGTCTTGTCCTGTTCATCTCACTCAACTGCACAAGTAGGTATGGCCTATCTAAATTTTGATCTAAATTAAAATCTAGGAGCAGCTACTCTTCAGAAAGTAGTGGTTATAATTCAAGATCTTCATGCTTTCTTAGGTGTCCTATTTGGAAAACATACCCATTTCCACTGCTGTGACAAACCACTGATGCTCAGTGCCTTGTTCTCGAGTTCCCCTGAGGAGCCACGGGGTGGCATCAGTAGTGCTCCATCATTTGTGCTCCGAACATTTTGTATACTAGTATATTAACCTTCTATTCCACAGTCTGCACATATTTTTAACCAACAGAAGTGAGTCTTTTGGGTTTGAAGTTTCTTCATCTGTGAGTATTCGGTTTTGCTCTTAGACTGAAAGGCCAAGGCTTGTTGAGAGAAGATGTAAACAAGTGTACTGCATGGGCAGCAGTTGCTTCACTTTCTTTCTTTCACTCAAAGTCAACAGGGAAAAGATGCATCAAGTTTTTCCAAAAGAAATAGTAAGTTCAAGCATAAGGCTAATAGAAACAGAATTTACCTTATCTCCTTATTAAATGAGGGCACTTCATGGTTAGTTCAGTCTCATCCTACTGGGGAAAGGTGGGACAATGTAAGTGGAGAGTGCAGAGGTTGTCTAACAAGCACAGTGTTGGCTCTTTTTTAAAGGGAAGATTGGATTTGGTGTGTTGGACCTGCCATCTCCTGTGTGGAACTTATTGGATACTTAGAGCTATGGCTGTGGTGGCTTTTTCTTGGGCCCAGTTCTTGGACTGACAGGACTCAGCAGAGCAGAGTATTCAAATGAGCTGTTTACAGAGGGAAAAGGGACCACCTGTGTTATGTGAGATTGAGAAGCTATTTCACCCCTTGGTTTTGGACAGAGATGTTCAGTTTATGCCTCCACAGTGAGGAACCTGTTTATTGTGCCTGTTTTGATGTTTGAAACACTCAAAGCTTATACTAGGATGGGGATTTTAAGATGCTAGTTGTGTTTAGATTTTGCAAAATGAAGTGATTTGATCTTTGAATCTCTTCTGAAGCCTTGGCTGAAAAGAGGGCCTCTTGACTGAATGTGCTTAATATTTTTTTTCATTGTGAATTAAATCCTGATGCTTCCCAATTATGCTCTTAGAGTTTGGCTGTGCAGCTCCGTGTGAGATCATGCATTGCATTTAGATGCAAGAAATGTGAAGGTTTTGAGCTGCTGGGCACCTGGCAGGGAGTGTCTTGTTCAGAGATACATGATGGAGGTATAAACCTTTTCTCAGGCTACTCCATCACTTCTGGGCAAGCGTCTGCTCTTTCCAGTATCAGGGTAAAGTTGATGGGCACAGGAGAGGAAAGATTTCTTGCTGCTGTGGTCTTCATTACTCAGAGGTACAAATGTCATCTGCTCAGGTGTCACCTGCCCTCTCCAGCAAAGGGGAGGCCAGTGGTCTAGGAGAAAGTTCAGAAGAAAAGATGTGCATGTTAAGACTGAAAACTCTCTCTCAACATCTATTTCTCTCTCTTCAGGCGGCCTAAACTCAATCTTGCCACCCAGACACACTCACTGGAATACGTTGGTTTAAGATGTGTAATTCTAAATAGTTTTACAGTATTTACCACTAAAGAAAATAAGAGCTATGAGTTCATTTGTTCCTGCAACATATAGTTGCATTCAAATCTTTGTCCTTTTGAAGAACTGGAACTCTCCTAGATTTTAGCAGGATCAGGGTCTGTGCCGCATTTTGTTAGGTCCAGTAAATCTTCAGTGGGATTTTTTAAAATTAGAAGCTTCATTGCATGGTCTGGTATGGACAGACAGCATTTTTCCAACAATGACTCACAGAAGAGAAGCAAAGAAAATGAAATGTGAGGGTTGTTTAAAATAACTTCCTTGTTATATTGCAGATACGTATTTGGGCCCGGAAGGAAGCAATTAAAAATGGATATGTTGACTATGCTTTAAATATCACAGGCCCAATATTTTCATTTCTGGAAGATATACTTAATGTCAGCTACCCTCTGCCAAAGACAGGTGAGATGAATTATTTTCTGTAATGGATCAGAAAAGGCTGCTGATGGTGTAATGTTCATAGAAGCCATGGGGCTTTTATCTGTGATTCTCCTTTTACAGCTCACCACATTCATGGAATAAACCCCCTGAACTTTAAATCACTGAATTCTCCTTTCTGTCTCATGGCTTTTATTAACCTGCAACTCACCACTCTCACCTCCAAATTCCACTCATTCTTTTAAAGCCTGTTTTCCTAATAAAAGGGTCAGGTGGGACAACAAAGTGGGTAGAAAGGAGTAGTTCAGTCATGTGGCTGTCTTTGGGACCATAGACCACGACGTGCAAGGATATTGTAGTTCCTGTGTTCTCCTGGTAAATCCATGCTGCCTGTTTGTAACCTGTGTCCCTGCAAAGCATTCCTTGCTTTCATCAGTACCTCCCTGTCCTGCCTTGGGTGTGTGTTCCTGCACCTTCCTTCCCAGAAAAACAGGGAGGATTGCCCTGCAGGAAAACATTGATTCTACTTCAAGTGGACATTAGGTAAGTTGGTTCAGTCAAACTTCAGTCAAGAAAAATGATGACACCGCGTAGTTTCACTGTACAGTTTGTTTGTTACTTGTACTTGGATTCCCAAGGGTTTCAGCATGAATATTACAGGAAAATGGGGAGAATATTCAGAATACAGAAAGCAGTTCTTATCTAAAATTAATTTTGGACCTGCCAATGATTTTTGCAGATTGCAGGACTGGGGGAAAGGAATTCCCCTCTTTTCTTGACTAGATAATTTGATGGTTTGTCAAATCTGTATTTTGGCATTTGACAGAAATAAATGTTAATCTATGTAAATTTATTATTGCCCAGTATATTTCTAATAACTTGCAGAATTACTCACTACACTTTTTTTGGAAAATGCAGTATATGCAGTCTTCACTCTTTAAATTTTTTTGTCTTAGTAATCTTGCAAGCTAGTCAAGGGCTGCATATTATTCCTTTTCATGCTTGTGTTCATGTGTTCAGCAGAAATGTCGATACATTCATTCATTAACATAAAACAACTACACAACAGAAGTAGAGGAATGGTGTTGCAGACTTCCTGTTAGGTTGGATTTCAATTTCAGAGAGGGCTGTAATAACATTACAATCCCCACTGTAATGCCATGGGACATCCACTGGATTTCCCAGTGTCTCCCTTTTCAAAGTTTCACTTAAAAAATAGTAAAATTAGACCAACCAAGAGTGCCTCCTTGTAAATACAAGAGATTTCTATTGCAAACTCAAAATGTGAAAATAAGAATAAACACATTTAAGAGTTTTTCTGCACCTGATTTTAGTGCAGTTGTAAGTGAGGTCTCTTGTTCCAAGGCTGGATAACAGCTGCCTCACCAGAAGTGAAATACCTTTGCTGTAAAATGGAGGCAATAATCCCAGTTGAGATGCTGCCTACCTGTGATGGGATTAAGCACCATGCTTGCATTAATTGCCTTGCTTTTTGGACTGTAGCTTTCTTGTGGACAGTGCTTCTAAACATTCTAAACATTCTGCATACCTTTTCCAAATTTTGATCTTTGCTGCTGAGTTTAAACAGTTTGCTGGTATATCTTTCCTTGAGACCCTGATGCTTTGTCTGGCTCTCACATTTGAACTGGAAAACTAATGCCTGTGCATAAGGCAAAAGGGGCAGTACAGAGTTGACAGTCTTACTGTGTAGATGAAGAGCAAGACTCATGCAGCTGAAAGAGCAAGACTTCTTTTTTATCACTTGCTAGGCTGAAGAAAAAGGTAATAATTGTCTTACCCAAACACAGGAGAAACTCACAGAGAAAGTTTTCTGACTGTCAGCAGTGAATATATTATCTCCTAACTTGCGTTTCATTCAGAAAATTTGTATGTAGAAGTTACAGTACAGATTTGGGCTTTGTGGGAATTAATTTTGTGGCTTCCTCAAAGAATGGCACTATAGGTGAAAAACATGACAAGAAGAAATTTCAGTGATAATTTGCAAGTGTTGCTGTAATACCACAAAGAAGCACTACAATGGGGTGCTGAGCCAGTGTCAACATTAGAATCATGTGAGCATTTTGTTTATGAAAATGTTTAAGATAACAATTTTTTGTGTATGTGTATCTGTTTGAATCAATCTAGATCTGGTTGCACTGCCTGATTTTGGAGCAGCTGGTATGGAAAACTGGGGGCTACTGATTTTCCAAGAAGCATCATTGATGAATGTCCCAAGTGATGACTTCACAAGCAGGAAGGCAATGATTGCCTTAATTGTGTCACATGAGCTAGCACACCAGGCATGTGGTAAAAAATTCTGTGCATGTATTTGCCTATGATATTGTTTCCTCACAATTGCTGGTGATGCAGTTACTGATTAGTAGAAGTAAAATAATCACTTAACAGTAGAGGCTGTGAGCACTAGAGCACTGAAAGTCTGTTTGATCATACATTCTGCTGATAAAGCAATGCTAAAAGTAGGTTCTGTCATCTTACAGATTGTATGCTGATTTGTACAGGACTCATTAATACAAAACTGTTTAATGGGGTACTTGTTTTTTTTCTTATGCAGTGCTTGAATGGGAGAAGATACTCTAGGGATGTAGGGATGACAGTACTCTCTATGCAATAAACTTAGTACTTTGCTAGGACACTCAAACTGAGTTCATCAGCATTCTTTTGCAGTGGCAGTGCATGTAGATACTGCAAAAGTTATTTGTTTTTCTGCAAGGCACAGCCCACAGCACAAAATTAACGTGAACATACTTTGCACTGCATCTTTGCCCAGCTCTCACAGAGATTTCTGAATTCTTTCTTACTTGATTTGGAATGATAAAACAGTTACACTTCCTTATTGACAATGTTTGATTTCCTGTTATTTGCCATAAAAAAACCCAACTATTTTCACAAAGTCAGTAAAATTAGCAGAAAAAGGTTGACTTGGCTAGTGCACTTTCATGCCTTTCTGAAAAGGTTTGCAACTTTGCAGGCTTTCAGATGAGCAGAGTGTTTTTACTGCAGGCCAATGAAATAAATGTCAGTGCTTAACTAAAATCTATTTTACAAAAAACTTGTACTTCTGGTTTTTAAGATTTAGGAAATAAAATATAAATCCAGAAATGATCAGGTTTTTGTTAAGTACTAAATGCCAGATATGATTGCACAACAGCTGTTCTGGAAGTTTTGTACTTGCCATGAGGGCGATTTGCTGGTTTTGGAAATGGTTATTTCCCCAGTTTAGTGTATCATTCCTCTGACAATTTCACTTTGTTAGGAACATAGAAAGATGATTTTGTAATTGCTTGATAAATTCCCTGCTTTTAATCATAACCTGATATAATATTTTAGAAGTTCAACTTATATTGAGAAGTGTTTAAGTATTTTATAAGAATGACATAATGCACTGTGATTGACACTCATGGTATGAAATTTTATATGAAGCAATTTAAACATAACTGCTCTGAACCTCTGACTTTTTCTAAAGTACATCCTTTTCTACTGAATTTTCACTATCTGATGGAACATTCAGCATTTTATTCAATTTACACGTGGACATTAAATAAAGTTACTTCAGCCTATGTATGTGTGTTTAACCTGCAAAAACTGTGAAAACAACACTCCAAGGAGATTTTGAGATATTTTTCTTTCAATTTTAGTGGTTTGGAAATCTGGTTACAATGAACTGGTGGAATGATCTGTGGCTTAATGAGGGCCTGACATCTTACTTTGAGTTCCTGGGAGCTACCTTTGTTGAACCCAAGCTTTCACTGGTAAGTACCGATGCTTACTAGCAAAGTTTCATCACGTACAAAGGAAAGAAAAGTGCAGGAGGTGGGAGTTAATTAAATGGTTAATTAAATGGTGCTATTATAAACTTCACTCCTGGGAGAAAGACCAGTAGGTCCTGATTCTTTCCTTGTAGGTCTCCATCTCTGGGGGCACTGTGATCATACCCAGCTCTCTGCAGCTACTGCAGAGAACAGGTGTACAGCTGGGATTCTGCAGTGGCAAAGAGTGAGTGTTTTGCACTAGATCTGCCACGTAGCAAACCCAGATTACTCTCCTGGGTCCCGTTGTAGCTGATGGTTTTCCTTCTCACCTGCCAAACTCTTTTCTAATTATTGCAGTCCTCAGGGATTGTCTCTCCCAGGCAGAGATTAGGCTGGGTCATTTTTGAGTCTGCTTATCCCACTGGGTCCCTGGATACCTGTTGGTAGATAAGACAAATATAATGTACAAAGCTAATCCAACAGCAGGGTAAAATTCCTTCCTATTCTGCCCAGATGGGAATAAACATAACTCCCATAGCATATTACAAGACCTCATCCACTGTTAAACTTAGAGACAGGTGATAGGGGCTGCTAATTGCAGCTATGAGATGATCTGCACTTACCTGTGCAGTCTTAAATGTCTGTATGTGTTGCCATCAGCTTCTGAAGGAAGAAAGAGCCTTAAATCTGGGCAGTTACTCCAGGGTGCTTTTTATTTGGCTAAGTTGAAACACCATTTGTCAGTTTCCTTTTTGCATTCACCAAAGCTCTTAATTACATGTTTGACTGGAAACTAGTAAAGGCATGCCAAACAAGATCTGTCAAGAGGATTTCTAGGTCATGGGATATGCTTACCTTCTTCTTTGAACTTCAGCAACAGCTCACTTTATTCTCTGCAATGCAGTGTCTTAATACCACTGAGAAGTGTAAAGGCCTCCAAATTTTAAATCGGAAGTAAAATCTTAACTTCTTTAAAATTTAAACATTTAATTTAGAAGCTTGCCTTTCTGAAAATCAGCAGTTATCATTTGTGTCCATAAAGAAAATTTTAATGCTGGGCAATAATTCTGTTTGATACATTTCAGTTAGGTAATGTGCCTTGGGAATGCAGAATTAATCACATAGGTGTAAGAATATAGGTCTTTCTTGCACAATTTTGTGGGTCATAAATGTTCAGAGTCACAGGATGGCAGAGGTTAGAAGGCACATGTGGAGGTCATCTTGTCCAGCCTCCCTGCACAAGCAGGGCCACACAAGAGCCGACTGCCCAAGACTGTGCCCAGAGAGCTTTGGAATGTCTCCAAGGATGGAGGTTCCATAAGCTCACAGGGCAACCTGTGGAAATGCTCAGTCACCTTCACAGTAAAAAGTTTTTCCTGGTGTTCAGAGAGAACCTCCCATGTTTCAGTGTATGCCTGTTGCCTCTGGTCCTGTCGCTGGGCACCACTGGAAAAGTCCTGGACTCTGTTCTCGAGTATGTACACTGATGAGATCCCTCTGAGCCCTCTCTTCCCAGGATGAGCAGTTCCAGCTCTCTTATCCTATTCTTACATGAGAGGTGCTCCAGTCCCTTCTCTGAGCTGTTGATCACGGCAGGTGATATTTACTCAGGAGACATTTTCTGAGGAGACATTTTCCTTCTGTATTTCTCACTGGGTGACAGCAGCAATGCCACGTTGCTAAACCCTGGTGCCTTCAGTAGCTTAGTCCTTTGATTATTGCTCAGAGTTGCTGCAGAAGAAATGGGGAATTTAGGAGGAGAATGTTGCCATATTCATGATAGAAGTAAATGAAATACAGGCTTTTAGTTTACAGTGTTTGTTCATTTGCTACTTAATACAGTTGACTTGTTTTTGCCTGAGGATTACACTGCAACTGTCTGTCAGGCCCAAGCCCACAGTACTTTGAAGATGTAAAATTTTCACTGGTCACTGATGCTGCATGTAGAAAATGTTAGGATCAGGTATATGGTCCCTTGTAGTCCATGAGAAAGTTAGGGAGTGGGGGAGTTTGTTTATAGATAACTGATTCATACACCTCCTTCTCTCGAGAAAATTAGTATCTTCTCTTCAGTGCACTTATTTTTGTCTCCTTCTTGCAGGATAAAATCTTTTATGCTCATATTGTACAACCTATCTTAAGGGAAGACAGTGAAACCGCTCGATCACTGTCACAGAGTGAGGACAAGATCAAAGGGTCATTTTCCTTAATGTCTCTATTTGACAACATCACATACAGCAAGGTAAAAAACCAGAAAATTCTTCCCATTTCTCGCAGATTCTAAGAGAATGGTAGAAGGTAGGTTTGGGAGGGACTGTTGATCAAAACTGTTTTGTCATTTGAAACACGATTCTGCTGCATGCACAAATTTATTGGGTGTTGCAAATCTACTTGGCTATGAAGGAAGCAGTGAAAACATTTTTAACCTCTGAAATATGAAGTGTGAGTGTAGGCCAACTAGCATCTCTGGAATATTTTAAAAAAAATATTTCAACAATAATTGTAATAATAATTCATTTTTTTCTCATACATTTTTTTGTATTCCAGGGGGCTTCTGTAACCTGGATGCTTTCTGGTTTCCTGACTGAAAAGTTGTTCATCAGAGCACTTACTGTAAGTTTAAAAAACAACCCCATTCATCTTGATTTATAAGCTTGAAAATGTCAGTTGTACAAATTGCTTGCCTCCACAAATTCTGATGCTTCTCTTTGTTTCTTCACAGTCATATCTGAAAGAATTTTCCTTCTCAAATGCTAATCAAGATGATCTCTGGACCCACATCCAGATGGTACTCATTTTATGCCTCTAGTATTCTTTCTCTGGGGTTTGGCACAGTCCAAATTTAAGGCATAAACTATTTGTAGAAGACTGCATTGGAATGTTGCTATCTGTAATGCAGTCTTTTGCCTTCATAAAATTTGGTTTGCTGGTTCTTTCAGCTAATGTCTTCTCAAGTGTTTATTTGGCTGCTTTGCTGCACCTGAGATCAGCGGGACTGAGTACAAGGAGTAGAGATGAGATAGGAAATCAGGACCAGGCAAAGTCTTGGGTTTCATGGTAATTACATAAACCTACATGAAATTGCATAGCCTATTGTTCTGGAGCTTAGGTTTTGCTAGATAAGAGTGTCTGATGCCTTGGGCTTGAAGATCAAAGATGCTGGTGTGTCACAGATCCAGCAAAGTCCATACCCAGGGCAGTAGCTCAGCATTTCACCCTTCAGTGGTTTTGGCAGAGATCTGACTAAGAACACAAATGCTAATATTAGGTTATTTTTTAAAAAATTCACCTTCCTGGTCCTCTAAAGAAGGCTCCTATTGTTTTGCAGACTCTGTCTTAAGAATGGGAGTGCTAGAATTTCAGATATGCAAAGCTGTCACATGTTTTAAGCCCCTGAAGACTGTACCAATTCACAGTAGCTGGGACTCCAGCTTAATGTCTTTTTCAATTTGTCTTCACTAATTCAGTTTTCTTATTACGTCACTTAAAAATATTTGTGCTCCATCAGTTCTATTTGAATGAAATTAATTAATCAAGTCTGTCATAGCCATAGAGATGTAAGTATATTAATACAGGGTTATGCCTGTATTATGTCTTTATTAGAATGTCAGAAAGTTCCCTTGGACTACATAGATTTTTTTGCATGAGTCAAAGACCAGCAAGCTGCTAAGAATTATTGTCTCTACTACCTTGGAAACACTCCCAGAGATCCACTGAAGCAATTTCAGTAAGTGCCTGTTCATCACAAGTATTTCTAATTTCTCTTTCTCTTTCAGGTTGTAGATGCACAGGATGAAGTTCAGTTGCCAGCACCTGTAAAACAAATAATGGATTCCTGGACATGCCAAAATGGGTTTCCAGTTTTAACAGTAAATCTAACCACTGGAACAATCAGACAGGAACAGTTTTTTAATAAAAACAATAGAAAGAGTACTGATTCTTACAAGTATGTTTAGCTTGTGTTTTTATTGTATGTTTATACGCTGTTGTTTACAGGAAATGCTTTGGTTACAACAACGTGTTTTGACCATCTGATTTTTCAACTTGTGGTTTTTTTCTTCTGACAAGCAGTCAAGTAAAATCTGTTTTGAGATTTTGCTGGATTTTGCAATAGTTCTGCAAATTCTGGTTGTTTTGCCAAGAAGTTGCTTTCCTCTGGAATACTGAGTTTTCCAGCCACATAATAATAAAGACAGAGGTAGGCAGTGAGTGTGTTTCAGGGAGGATTTTTGCCTGGCATTTTCTTCTTTCCTCATCCCTCAGGTCTACAGACTGGGGGCCTGGATGAACCATGCTTAACTTATTTCCTGTGCATATATTCCCAATCTTTCTGCCTGACAAGGATGGAGGGTTTGCATTTAAATACTTAAATATAGATGACACCCTTTCTCAGAAAGTGATGACACCTGAGCAACAGTTTTAAGTCCTTGTCAGTGACCATTGCTAAGTGCTCAGGGCACTTAGCAATATAAAATAAATACAAAATAAATTTGAAAATTTATTTAGATGTCTGAAAAAGCTGCCTTTTGTCACCCACTTTGGAAACTCCTGGTTAGGGTTTGAACATTTATGAAGAAGCAGTTGATATGAGCTGATATGAGGGGTGCATGGATGGAGCCCATGAGATGTCATATGAGGAAAAAGTGCAAAGGAAAGCAAAATCCAAAGCAGTTTCTTCTTGGAAATTATTGCTGGTAATACAAACAGGCAAAAAGAATTTTGACAAGAAGCACAGGATGGTTCTTTGCTCCCTATCTCCAGGAACAACAAAGCATTATTCATTCAATATTCTTGGTTAGCTCAGATAAGGAGTTCCAAGTCACAAGTGTGAAGTCCTTTACAGTTAGAAAGCACAAATTACCACGTGATTGTAAGAAAGCCCAGAACACGTATTAGAGAATTTTCCAGGCATTTGAAGCTTTCGGCCCTTCTACCAGAAAGGAGTTTTACATTCCCTCAGAAAACAAATTACAGTTGTGGGAAAGTTGTATTGCTTTCTTGGAACCTTTTTTTGGTAGATGTGCTTCTGAAAAGTAGCTTTAAGGTTCCCAGAAATAGGATAAAGTGTAATAAGAGAGGAGAATAAAATCTCTGCCTGAAGAAGGAAAGACAGTACAAAAAGACAATGGTATTGAGAACTATATGCTAGAACTGAGCAGTACTCTTGATATGAATGCCTTTTTAAAGCCATGCTAAAACTCCCTTTTGGAGAAGGTAAATGCTGATGCAGAAGAAGTACTATTATCTGATGAAGTTGCATGCATCAGAGAGAACAGAAGGTAGATGGGTATTTTTGTAAGACGGAACTAATCTGCACTGTAGTTTAGCATCAGCTAAGAGGGATTTTTAAATAAAAGTATTTTAATAATATTCTCTTATTTGTTAAGTAATACCTGGATTATTCCTATTTCTTGGATGAGAAATGGATCGTCACAGCCCTTAACCTGGCTAGATAAAAGCAGCAGTAAGTAATGTATTTGTTTGCACATTCTAAAACCAAACTGATGGGAACACTCCAAAGTCTTTTAAAAGGAGCTGATATATTTGAATTGAATAGAGAGATAAAACTTTAATACAGAAATGTCTCTGTTTATCCACTGTAATGTTTTTGTGTTAGATAGATTTTTAGGTAGATTTTCAATTAGGTCAATATCTTTTCTATGTTGCATCAAGTTTCAGTGTAAGCTTGAGTTTTTAATAATGTGGTACAACACACATTATGAGTAGAGATTTCCACAGAAATTTTGATTTTATAATTTTTTACACAAATCCAAACTTTCAGGTCCTCATGCTTCTGTAATATTCTCCCCCCAACAGATCTTACTGATGTTAATGTCAGCTTTTGAGTATAGACAGGATCTCAGCTGTGAAATACCAGAAAATTTATCAGCTCAAGTAGTAGATAGAAGACTGAAATAATTAACACTGGCTGTGGGAAGTGACCCTGCTGTTGTTACACAGTAATATCTGTAACAACAGAAAATGAATGTTTTCAACAGCATTTAATTAATTTATTATGTTGTCGCACTATATTAGGAATGGTGAGAAGTATGACAGACTCTCTCAGCTGCGTTGTCTAAGAGAGTAAAGTTTATTATTCTTGATCCTCTTTTATAGACAGGTTCAAGAAGGTCTGAGAGGTAAAACTCTCATTGGTCATTAAAGCAACACATCACCAGCATTGGTCAATTGGAACACCACCTCTTGACTGTTTCTTGCAAGTAAACAACAAGGATCCAAAAAAATCCTGCAAAGATTGTTGTCCTTCTCCAAGGACTGTTTGGATTTTTCCTTATGCTTTCTCAGGCCAGGGTGAGAAGCTTGTGTGACTTTGTTTCACACAGGCTCTGTGTTCCTGCTTGCTTTTTTGCATTCAGCATCCACAATATGTTTATACAAATTAAATTTTAAAAATTATAAAAATAATAGGATTTTTAAAGTCCTTCAGTAGAAAGTGACTTTATGGGCATCTATAACCAAATAAAAAATTTGTTCTTTCCTAACTCAGTGCTTTCAAATAACTTTGTTTTTTTTTGAGAAAGAATAAGTATAATCAATAGAAAGGGGTAATGATTTTGCTTAAGCAAGTCAGCCATGCATCAGGTTTTAGATGAGTCAAAAGAAGATGCAGAGACTAATGCAGTGGAACGCTTACGAGCAAATCTCCAATATGCTGTGTATATTGCAGCTCCCCACTCTGTTCACAGTGGTTGAAAGTTACTTTCTCTCTTTTTCAGGCAGTAAAATAGCTTGAGTCATCATTAATTCAACTGTATACAGACAGGCAAACAAGAAAAAATGCCTGTATATGCCTCTGAATATGGAATGAATCTCTCAGTGCTTGGTCTGTCTCAGTCCTCTGTTCAGAGTAAAGCACTGATGGGTGTAGACTGCTCACCAGTATTGACTTACTGTCTTAACAGAGTCTGCCTTCTCAAATCAGGATGTGAAAACTGAATTCTCTTCTGATGAGGCAGCTTAGAGCCTTCAAGGCTGCATTGGCTCCTTCAATGGATAATAGCCTCTCAGGAGCAGTCAATCAGGCAAGAACATATGAATAAATAAGATGAACTGCAGGAGGAAGCTGTCAGTGAGTGATGTAACTCAAAAGGACTATGGGACTATCTTCTTTAAAATAAGCATTTTTGATTACTTGTCTCTTGGTCAAACTTAGAATTTTTAATTTTTTTCTTGCTCTGCATTTATTTGAATACTGGTAGGTGGTTGGTTGTTCTGTGAGGTGCTGAGCACTGTGTTTTGGAGCTGGGAGCAGCAGGTGTGCTGTGGAGATAAAAATGGGTCCGTGCCCTACAACTGGCATGGGAGGGTATTGCCCCTCATCCTGAGAGTCTGTTCTTGGGTAAACTTGTTGAACTCTCAACAGCTAACTTTGAGCTAAAGGGCTGGAGTGGGTCTTCAGCCTTAGAATCCCAAGGTGCTCAGTACCTGAGGAATCATTGACTTGTTGAGGTCATTCTGCTGTGCAGAGCAGAGATCACAAGTCCACTGAGCTTTTGGGGGACTCCTTTTGAGTCCAGTCTCAAACTTGTGTCTCATATCTCAGAGGACCACCAAGTCCATTGTTTGTAAATGCAAAAGAAGCTTTGTATGGAAAACAAAATGATACATTATAATGTCACTTTACAGAAATGTTTCCTGAAATGCAAGTATCAGAGTCAGAATATGACTGGATCTTGCTAAATGTAAATTTAAGTGGATACTACAGAGTGAACTATGACGAATTAAACTTGAAGAGATTAACACGCTTGCTTGAAAATGATCCGAAGGTAAGATCGTGTTTGTTTTCTCAAGCTTATGGGCAGACTCTTTCCATGTATCTTTTCAGGCATTTTTTACCTGGAATAACATTGATGAAAACCTGGAATAATGAGAAACTCACCATTGCACCACTAAAGTCACTGGCTTTTTGTAGTGGCAGATGACAGGCCTATGACGTAAGATGACATAAGCATGAAAAACAACTTTACATGACATTTTGTCTTCAAATTTGTGTTAATAGCTTGTGGTTCTTCTGCTCTCTTTAAATCTAGCTCAAGGAGCTTTCATACTCCTTCATTCTCAAAATCGTGAGAAAGTTTTTTATTTCCATGTTTTGTCAAACCACAAAGTTTCTGCCTGTGGAATTAAAAAAAAAACCAACACCTTTTTTTTGGTGGGTTTTTGTTTGTTTGTTTGTTTGCTTGCCTGCTTGTGATTTTGTGGATTTTTTTTTCTGGGGTATTTTTTTGATTTTGGATTTTTGTAGATAATTTTCCTAGAAGTTCCAATCAATTATATTTGAGCTCTTTCAGTCCTCTGTAGACACTGACTTAGAACAGATTTCATCCCACCTTTGACTTGCCACAGCCTGAACTGAAGGTGAAAGTGGTACAGAACAAATGTGGCTCTATATGGGGTTGCATGATTTCAGTGTTTCCTAATCCTACAGTGAGCCAGAGGCTGCAGTGATAGTGTCAACTCATTGGTTTTGGTAACAAAAGTGAGAAAATTTAACCTTTTGACCTAATAGTAATGAGTGCAATCTTTACAGAGTCTGGACACAAGGCTGATCAAAGCACATTAAACCTTCTTAAGGCAAAGGGGCTTCACTTCTTCTAGGCTCCTTTGTTTCATGGTAAATCTACATCATCAGGAGATTGTGGTCAAACCTGTTCTTTGCTGTAATGCTTCCTGGTAGGCAGTGTTCTTGGTAGCAGCTGTGCAAAACCATCTGTTCCTTGTGGTCACACTGTTTGTAACATTTCTTGGTATCAAGGGGTGGAACAAGAATAAGCAGCTTCTGCCCAGCTTCACATTCCTCCCTGGCGTGTGTCAGCCCAAGCCACCTGACCTCTGTCTGCTTTCAGCATCGTGTGTTGAGCTTTGCCCTGTTTTATTCCTCTGGCTGTCAGAGGGAATCTTTGCTCAAGCAGTGACCAAACTGGTGTGGAACAAGGAGGAGATGAGGAGGAGGACAGCAGTTCTGCCACAAGCTGTAGGCAGAGATAGATCCATGGCTGTGCCTTGGTCACTGATTTCATGGTGGTGTTAGACACTCTGCTATGCAATGAGTATAGATTCTGCATTTAAACTGCAAAAGGAAAAAAATTACCAAAATTGTGTAACTAGGATATTTTTAGGGAATGTGGCATTTCCATGTTTTAATTTTAATTACAGCATGCGAGTAAGAGGGGTCTTGAAATTCTCTGGTTAATGTACTGCAGTTATATGTTTATATACAACATAATATATAACAAGGGCTATAGCAGAGCTATATATATATATATATGCAGCTCTGTGTATAGATATGTTAAAACATATCTGTATCTATATAGATAGATATAGATATATTTAAATAAACCTCTTTTTTTTCCTCTTTTTTTAAAATTTCAGTTTAAAATTCAGGATTGGTTTCACAATGTTTGTAGGCTGTTTTGATTTAGAAAACCTGTTAGACATCCTTCTGAAACACTGTAAAGCTTTTTGCAAACTCTTAATGACGTGTTGAAATCGGCTAACACTACACAAATACTTTCTGCAGGCTATTCCCACTGTCAGCAGGTTCCAGCTGATAGATGATGCTTTTGCACTGACAGAGTAAGTATGGTTCCAATATGTTACAGAAATTGACTAAACAATATGATTGCACTCAAGATCTGTACTTCTGCTTCCTTCATTCCTACCCATGTGTGCCTCCTAAGAATTACTGCTTTGACAAAATGGTGGGGTAGATATTTAATCCCTTCTTCTGTCAGTGCTGAGAGATTTACTTCAAAATTTCTTTTGTTCCAGCTCCATGGAAATTATTTTAAATAGTGGCACTGCCATGAGTTCTTCAGGAATTAACCTGTGTTTAACAGGAAAAAATATTCCAAATGAAGGTTCTGAATCTTCCTTTATTTATTCTGGGCAATCTCAGCTGTGCTGTACTGCATCACTGAAAACCTCTTCAATTTCTCTTGCTGAGTCATGACTTGGTTGCTCAGGTCTGTGGTGCTAAAGAGGTCAGCAGTGTTGCAGGGAGCTGAGAAGCATTGAGTGTGTCTGTGCCTCACACATACCAGAGGTACCAGAAGCATCAGACACCTGTGATGAGGGTGTCCCTGTGCTGAGAGACCTCAGGGAGGAGGTGGCCAAAGTGCACTGCCCTGCTTCAGGGCCTGTGGAAGCACCTCTGAGAGGAGGAAGTAAAAATTCTTATTCCTGCTCCCATAAAAATGTCCTTTTTCATAAGAGGGCTCAAAACTAGTAGCCAAGAAGGAATGTAACTCTGAAGTACAGAACTGTGCTGTTATATAAGTACATTTTTTAATTTTTTTTTTTCTGAAGGACAGGGGGTTGAATTGTAATTTGGTGTGAAAAAATTAATTCCATGCTTATTCCACACTGAGGGACAGAAATGCCATGCTGAAGTAGTTAATTCCACAAATACTGTGCCTGTGAATGAAATGTTTTGATTTTTACAATATTACACAAAAGAACATATAATGAAAAAAAGTTGTTTCACAATAAAAATAAAGCTGTATTATAGCTAAAACAGTGGGGTTTTTATTTTTAATTTTTTTTCCAGTGGGACAGACACACGCTGTCAATGTGTTTGTAGCGCTTCCTGCAGACACAAGCAGTTACAGTGTGCCTGCTGCCATGTTCACTGCCATGGTGGGCCTTGCTTTGACAGTGGCACAGTGCTCCTTAGTGGATGCTTTGAAAGTTCAGCTCCTATAATCACCATTTGTTTATATTTCCTTTATTTTCTCCAGTGCCTTTTCTAGGTCACTTCCCACACAGTACCCTGATGTTTTATTGCCTGTTTCATAAATAAGCAGATATGTGTGGTAGGTAATTAATGTGAATAAGTATGCTGAAATGTGTGGGCTTTCTTATTTTGTTTTGCTGGGTTTTTTTACATAGCTTCGGATATGTTCCAATTGAAACAGCCCTTGAACTAACAAAATACCTTGCCAGAGAGGATGAACTCTTCATATGGAATATGGTATTGTTAAACCTAATACCTGATCATTTGGAAAGTACACTGAAGAACCATGAGGTATATCCACTTTTAAAGGTATGACCATTTTGTTAGTTACCAAAGATATTAGACCATGCAAATACATAAGTCTAAAACAAATGCTTTTTAGATTCTCAAGGATCTAGTGGTGACTATGATGAATCAGAGGGTTGTAATTTCTTTTGCATGACTTTATCAAATCAATTTTTTTTTAAATAGGAGGAAGTACTTAATTATAAATATTAGTCAATGATAAGTCTTGTTGAATCTTGTGTTGATCCTTATTGAAAGCAGAAATACATTCACATTCTTTAAATTAAGCTTCATCCTTGTTTTTTTGAAACAGTGAATCTGGAAAAATAGAACTATCACTCAGTAGTAGGTGAAAAGACCAACACCTATGTATAGAAGACATAAAGCACATTTCTGCTCTGTGCTTCATACACTGCTTTCCATTCACCTTCATGGAGTGAAAGAAGGAATTGTGTTCAGATACTAAATAAAATTATTCTCTCCCATATTAACTTATCTGAGATACTATTTTCACATTTTTTCCTTGACTTCTATTTGAAGATTTCACTTATGTTTGAGGTACAATCCCGCAGCTCTCTTAAAGTTCTCTTAAATACTAAAAAATAAAGGTGTGTTAAAATAAGTGAGAAGAACAAAGTATTTCCTATTGAGAAGGGGTTTTTCCTGTTTCTCTGAGAATTTGTTGTTTTTCATAATAAGTTCAAAGGTCCTAGTGAAAGGATAATGTGCCAGTTTGAATTGAAGTACAAGTATATTGCATTTTAGACCCGATTTCTATTTTATTTAATGTCCTGTGTTTCAAGATGTTAATAGTGGTAATTTTTTAGGATAAATCTGAGAAAATAAGGAATATCAAAACTTGTATCTAAATGAAAGTAATTTTTCTTTCCCTTCTTTTAAAAGAAATACCTTTTAAAGAGAATGTTGCCAATATACCATTATTATGCAGGTTTTATTCGTCAAAATGCTGATGCTTTGGAAGATGACTATTTTGCTCAGTAAGTATTCTGCTTTTCTTAGGAGTTCTTCTGGTGTGAATGGATCTGATGCATTGCAGTTTGGTTGTGTAAATTTAAGTACAAGATACAGGAAAAATTCTCTAACTAATGTGAGTTTAATTGAATTATTTTCCTGTCCTGTAAGTGTGTATTCTTTATGATGACACCACCAGTGAAACTGCAGTGTCAGGATAGGACCATAAAGGACAATAGTTTAAGATCTTAGTGGTAACTCTCATTTGTCAGAGAACAGGCTCAACAGGCTGCTCTGCTAGTTGAAGAAAAACTGACAGCAATAAACTTAAAATATGATTTTTGGATCAATTACTAAAACTTTGAGAAACTTCATTTTGCAAAGCCACTGCAGCCACAGGCTTTAGCATCAGAGTGATTTGAACTAGATGCAATCAGAACCTTAAAACTTCCAAGAGGAATGTAAACCACACAAAAAAACTTACAAAAATATAGTACATTGGTCACCTCACTAATACTCACTAATATTAATGTCTGGAGACCATTATTGTTTGTTTAATTATTTTATTAAAACTCAATTGTTCCTAGTAGATGTTCTTGTGGGTTAGCATCATGTTCTGAAACTGTGGTGAAGTATTCTTCACATCACATTCTTCAGCACATGTTCTGAAACAGGCACAGTTGAAGTATTCCAAATGTGGTATGCTTATCTTTTATTCTTACTGTTTTAACTTCCCTTCAAGAGTATATTTGGAAAAATTCTTGGCAACAGCGTGCTGGCTGGGCCTCCAGGACTGTTTGGACCTGTCATCTGAACTGTATGCTAAGTGGAGGGACAACCCTGAGTACAAGTAAGAATGGTGATCTGCTCTTAGAAGTGTGCATGTCAAAGGGAGGTGGAAAGTTAAAAGGCTGTTACAAGGGGGAGGCAGAACGAGAAATGCCTCTGTACACTGCTCTTGTTTCTCAGCAGAATGACAGAATGTAAGACAGCTGTGTCTGCCCAAACTCCTCCTCTTCCCCAAATCCCAGCTTTAGGATGATTTCATAATTTCTGCTTTTTACATAGACTTTGCAAGCTGGAGGATGCAGGTTTTGCCATGAAGACCAAAATGTGGTTGGCCATGTAAAAGGTGAACCTTCTGTTAGTGCTAATATCCCACATGGCCCAATCCCCTTGCTGTAGTACAGCCTTGGGGTTATCACGTACACCAAATCAGCTTTTAAGCTTCTCTTAACAGTACTGAGTGAAGTGATGTTTGCATGATACGGCCATCTGCCCATGGTGAGCCCATCAAAGTGGCTTGCATGTTCTGTGTTCCCATAAAGAGGTGTTGGGAACAGCTCTCCATCCTCATTCTGGTACTGAAGCCCCCTGGTCAGGGGTCTGGGCTGTAAGAATGGACTCTGGACTCTACCAGGAAGAGACTTTCTGTATTCAAGTATTTCATCATTAAAAAAAAAATAATTACAATGTATTGAAATTCTTATTCTTTTTTCCTCTCTCTTTCTTTTGATGTCTTTCTATGCAATTGTCAAATAGTGTTGGCACTGGTGAGTGAATATTTAAAGTTCTTTTAAAATTTGTTGTAGTCGTGATAAATATTTTGTTTCTGTTTGAGATATGTTGATACATGTAGTTGGCTAAGTAAACTGAAATTGTACTACTATATTTCAGTTTTCTAAAATAAATTCATAGTGATCATCCTCATAAAAGCCAAACTGAGTTTTGCAGTTAGACTAAAATAATTAAATAGCCTACATACATTTTGTTCCATTCTAGAGAGAATATTCTTGCAATTCCACACTAAAGGTAATAATGCTGTGCTGAATTGTCAGTCTGCTTTCAAAATAGTCATCTTTCCCTACTAGTAACATTTGAGGTGATGGAATACTGCACACCTTGTTTGACATGAATAGCTGAAAAGTCTGTGAAATATATTAGCTGATTGGGTTTTTTTAAGCTGAATTTGATGAAGAATATTAATTTTGCTGTCCTTCTTGGCACTGAGAAAAGTTCAAATGGATTTTACTGGGATATATGTGTGGAAAAAATGAAACTCTGAATATGGTTAAGTGAAAAAACTATTATGTTTTAAGGAGAAAACCCCATAGAAGATAGGACACTTCTTAGGTTTCAAGTGACAGATTACTGCTCCCATGCAGTTAATGAAGAGGCTCTACATGTGCTAAGTAGGAAAGGAAACAGACACAATACACTTTTGACCCCTTTAGATGCTCTTATGTTCTCCATGCTGAGAACAAATTTGTAACAGCACACTACAGCTGTATTGCCAGAGGTGGAACCCAGAAGGATTCTCACACCTAGGGAAGGAAGTAATGCATTTCTGTTTCAGATTGGGTGATCAACTTTCAGCTGAACATTTCCAAACTGTTCCTGGAAGAACGTAACTGGACTTAATACAGTGCATTTTTATATTTTTTTGTGGAAATAACTAGAGCTATAATCCTCAGCCAATTTCTCATTTTTAGTCTTTTTTCATTGTAAGAGTGTAGTGAAGCTTGCTAAATTAATGTATTCTCCTAGGTGCTGTCACTGGCTTGTAAACTGCCCTGCTTTCCAGCAGCTTTTTTCATCTTCCCCAAGATCCAGGAATGAGGGATCCTGACAGGCCAGTAATGTCAAATCACATAGCCACACCCAGGGAAGGAAAAAAAAAAAAAAAAAAAATTAACTTAATATAACCTCAAGCTCCAAAGTCCCTCTGGACCATACTGGATACCCTCTGGGAACTACACAACATAAGCCACTTCAGGGCCACCATAGATGTCACCAGCCAGCAAACCATTGCCCCACAGCAGGCTGCCTGTCCAGCCTGCCTCAAATGTTGCACATCAGAGCTGCAGCCAAATGATGTGCAGAACTTGTCTATTCACACACAACAACTTTACAGTTATTAATAAACATTTTCTTGCAATTACTGGAACAGCTTCAGTAGCAAAATAAATACTTTGTACTTTGGCCAAAATAGCTTTATGCTGTTATCAGCTTACCATGACCTCTTACTGCAACATTATGAAAAGCTTATCAAACAAGTTACTAGACCCTTTAACTCCAATCTGTCAGAGAAGGATTCCTCACAGGACAGTACTTTAGCCTGACAAAACTACCCTACATGTCATTCTTGGTGGTAAAGCCTTTATGTCCCAGCAAATATCTAGGTAAATGAATCCAAACTATTTTTTAAGTAAATATAAAAAGTAAACATAAAGTATTTAAGAAAACATAAAGCCCACACTTTCTAGTAGTATGACAGTGAAATCCCCCACCTCCAACAGAACTTCCAAAATCCCTGCATCCTGTCTTTTCACTAACAAGTGATGTGCCATGTAAAACACCAACTCTCTCCCTCTTTCCTACTAGTCCTTTGTTTCCAAAATTTATAAATCCTTTTTTCTACCTTGTACTCTAAATATTGATGTCATATATCCTTCCTTCTGACTGACCAGCTCTGTTGGCATCATCCTCACTTTCTCTAGGACAGTCCACTGAAACTCGAGAATTTGTCTCAAATTGTATTTAAATTTGCATTTGCTGTTTCCAGCTTTGGCCCTGAAGAATGGCTTTTCTGACCAGAAACTTATCTGTTTTTCAAATTGTATCCCCTGATCAAAGGGAGGATAATTTTTACACCTCCACTTACAATCTTGGCTTAATGTAGTAATAAGCAGGCTAACAGTGGGACAAAGGAAAGTCAAATGTTTTGCTTGTTGCAATGGCACCCATTCTTCTGTAGGGAATTAGTCCAAAATACCATGAGCTGAAACTGTTTTCACATAGCCTGCATAGCAGAACACTGCTGTCACTGGAAAGTGTTTACAATGTCTTAATGTCGAGGACACATCCTTGCTACAGGAGAAACTTCCTGTCCAGCCTTTGCCTATGGAGCATTGTACTGGTGATGTCTGCTTTTAGTTTCTGTTATGAAATTAATTGCTGTGTTGAGGATCTTCCCTGGGGTGGGAGTAATAGGAGGCTGCCTTTGCATGGAAAAATGTCCTTTCTGTTTCCTTCTGTGCTGAAAATGGCACTTCCTACTGGATGCATTCATAAGAAACTTAGAAAAGACTTGTCTGGGATGATGCATATATGCATTAGTACACTCATTAATGGTGTGATCTGTTTCCTGCGATGGGGAACAGTGGCGTTGACACTGTATCTACACAAAATATTCTGGTCCAACTCCTCTAAAAATGTTGGGGTTTCCATTAAACTGCATGCTTTTAAAATGCTTAAATCATAAATAAAACATTCAGATTTCCTATCCTTATTTACACTGCTTTTTTATATTTGCATCGTTGTGTATATAAATAAACATTTGATTTCAGTTATTCAGCGTTATTCAGCATTTACAACAGGGTTTGCCTCTACAACAGCACTGTACCTTTAAATAGTATTTTTGCCTTGCAGAATTCCCCTTTTAATTCGAAAAACAGTCTGCTGCTATGGTATTGCAATGGGAAGTGATAAAGAATGGAATTTTGCATGGGAAATGTACAACCATACTGACTCTGTTGAAGAAGATGAAGACATGCTGCTCTATGCCATGAGCTGTGCCAAAGAGTCGTGGTTACTTTACAGGTGACCTTGATCAAAGTAGATCTTTATGTATGTAGAAGTAAATAATTAGAACAAAAATACTAATACAAAGCTGGGGGAGGTTTGCCTGCCACAAAAGCATGCGTCTTGTCAACCACTTTGTAAACTTTTAAAGAGTTTTGTTAGGGAGCAAGTATGAAAAATGGGACAAACACAAACAATCCTTCTGCAAATACAACATGTGGGTTATCAGGTCTTAGTCCTACCTCCACATGGGCCAACCAAAAAGTTAAGACATATATCAAAGAGTCTTGTCTAAATGTGTCCAGAACATAGTTTGAAACACTGTGCTTATTTTCTTTTACTAGCATTTGTATCTTTGTCAGTAAAAAGATGTTGAATTCTCTAATCAGTCATGTTTGTATTACCTAAAGCTTTGCTAAGGGATGGAGTTTTGGCAGTGATGGGCTGAAGAATTATCATCTAAACATTCACATAAGCTCCATGGGTCTAAAGGTGTGGAAGCAGCATTTTAGTCCTTCCAGCCACTTGCTCTAGTGTGGTAGTCATTGGGAAGACAAAAAAATATGGCTGAGAACGAGACAAGAAATTTTGCAGAGATGCCCAACCAGTTATACTAATTTCCCCCTTAACCTATGATCCTTTATTATCTTTTTCTTGGAACAAGCTAGCACCATTCCCTGATAAATCAGGGAGTTGTGATGAGCTTCTTCCTCCATGTACTTTTGTAGCTGATAAGCCAGTCTGTTTTCTGAACAGTGTTTTGGAGCATTTTGGGATGAAGAATGTTAAGATTAGCTTTTCCTGGCCCTCACAGTTCTTTGTCCATTATGTTAAGTGTAGTGGTGGCATGCAAAGGGGAGAAACACAACTCTACTGCTCTACCCATAAAGCAGCTGCCTGCAAGACACTATGAGAAAATAACTCTAAAAGGGTTCATTTGGAAGTAGGAGCATGTAAAGTAAAACACTGGGGCAACAAAGAGAATAACTACTTTTCAAGATGTTCAGACACTCACTGCCACTGACATAATTTGAAGACACTTCTTTAAATACTTCTGAAATCCTGCCTTAATCCTCATGAAAATCTTACTGAGTCTTGTTATAGGGGACCCTACAAACAGGTAGTTTTTGTGTAGAAGTGTCTCTGCTGGCATACATCCGTAGGCTCCATCGGAGTCGCAGTGAAGTGAATTGCCTGAAGGTGGGGAGCAGTCTGCCCTCCCACAAGCTTGTCTGGTAGGAGCAGTTGTCTTTCTGGTGCAGAGATAAGAAATACGTCTATGTCTATTTGATATTCTATTACCTCACTTTATTAAGAGGTGAAGGGTCAGTGTGCAAGAACTAAAGTTGAGCTAAAACCCAAGTTTAAGTTAAAACCCAAGCTGAATACACAGCTCAGAGTGACACCACCTTTGGTATAACCTTCTGCATGCTGGTATTTGTTGAGATAGGAATTTTTGTGAACGGGATTGTATTTCTGGATTGCAATATTGTGTATTTCCATTCTAAAATAGCAAGTGAGAGGTTCACGTCTTTCCTGCTTTTCTAACAGGTACTTGCAATATGGACTTAGTGACACATTATTTTCTTCCAATTGTACTTCAGTCATCATCTCACATGTAGTGACTAAAGATATTGGGTATCGTATAGCCTGGGAATTCGTTACAGAAAATTGGCCACTTTTAAGTCAAGGGTAAGCAACGAGTTTTGGCTTCCTTTAATTTCTGTGGCTCTTTGGCTTCCTTTTCTATCTTTATGTTTGAGCTGTAAAATTCAAGGGTAGATTTTCCTTCAAGAGATAGTTATTTGTAATGATTGATTCAATTAAGTATGCAGAACAGAGTTTTCAGAGGATTCAACTCTGATCAGGGTTAATGCCAAAGAATAGCTCATCAAACACAGAATGCTTTAAAAATTTGTCTGTTCATGACTGTTTCTGTGCTTTTAAGTAGTCCTGGGAATTCTGACTCTAAAAGTGGCTTTGTCCACTAGGATTTTACAAGTGGGTGTGAATGCCGAAGCAAGATCCTCACCTTTTTTTCCAAATAGAGTATGAAGAGATGGGGTATTAAAGCATGCAGACATGCAAGAGCTGCTAGGACCAGTGTTATTCCCTGACTTAAATCTTAACCCATCACCAGCCTCCCTGCACTGCTGTAGGTAAACTGCAGGTGATTTTGAGCTAAACAAGTACTTTGATGTCTGTTTGAAGGCTTCCCCTCTCCTTTACAATTGTGAAAAGCAGCAGCACTGTGACAGAGTACATTCCAGCTGCTCTTGATGGCTGAGGAGGCCATTGTGATCCATTAGTTATGCTTCAGCATAACCAAAATCAATAGTTTAGCATTCAAATGTGCAAATAGTTGTGAATGCTAGAAAAGGCAAATTGTAGCAGATTTGTGTCATATCAACTTGCTCCCTTACAGAGCTTTTCTGTGTTCTAAATTGATGACAAATTTGCTGGAAAATTGCCCCTTAATTTTCAAACTAAAAGAATAGCGCAAGTGATTATTTATATGCCACCCTCAAGATAGCAACAGGAACACCAGCTTGTTAGACACATTACTGGTTAGCCTTTTTAGCTCAGTTTGGCTGTATGGGCTCAGAGAGATTATCTGTTTCATGCAAAGAATTCACATTACCAAAATACAAATACCAGATCTTACTGGGAAGTGAAAATGAAGCGTAATTATTGTATTTTGTGCAGCTCAAACATCTAAATTGAATATTAATGATAGTTCTTTTAAAGAGAGAAAACAGTCCATAGTTGCAAACGTCAGCTTAGTTGGTATTTGCAGCATAGTAAATAATCACTAAGTAGTGTATTTTCAGATGAGATGAAATTCAGTATATTTGCTACTGTGCTATTTGAATTTTACAGATATGGGCATGAATTACTGCATGATGTACTCAAAGTCATGGGAAGATTTGTCAAAACTGATGTACAGATCCAAGAGGTAAACCATTTAGTCTCAACTTCATTGTCATTTTGTAAATAGAACCTTTTATTCTTTAAATTGCTGAACATAATGGTGATGTCTTCCAAACCTTTATGTTTGGAACAGAATCCACATATATTCTATCAAAACTGTCTCATTTTCCTCTATAAAGTCTGTCTGTAGACAGACAACAACCTCTGCCATTATATTGACTGAAAATGTACCAACATTTGGTCTGCTGGCCTGTTAGGTTGTCATGCTGACATCTGTTTAATTTCTCATGTTGTTCAATCACTGCTTCCCCCAAATATTTATTTACTATTCTTCTTTCCTCTCTTGTCTTTTGCCTATTAGACTCATTAGAAAGATTTCTTGTTCTGTGACTGTAGCACAAGAGGATTCTTCTACCCAACTAGTCCTAGACAGTGTGGTACCACCAGTACCAGTGGAACTGGCTGCATTTGAAAGGATTTTTAGAGGAAGAGCAAAAGGGCACACTCTTGATATGTAAGGAGCTTTCCCACGTTACTGTAAACCAGTAACCTTGCCCCACCCCCTCTTTAGTCTCTGTCATCTGCCCCTTTTCTGAGCATTTCTCTCTAAAGCATCTGTCAGGCACACAGTTGCTTGCTGCAAGTGAACTTTTGTGTGTACTAAGCTCATGTGTTTATTTCTTCAGCTGCAGGTTTTTTATAATGCTACTTTGGAAGAGGATGAGAGAGAGGCTATTACTATGCTGCTGGAATCTGCAAAACTTGAAAATATTGAAAGGAGAAAACTACTAATCAAAGTTGCCAACTGGTTAGAGAAAAATGTAGATGATTGACTTGGAAAACAATTTCCAGTATATTATATGTGATTCACCATCCTATTGGTATTCATTATATCCTGTAATTAAAGGTAAAGCACATTTTTAGAGTCCTGTGGTTGTCTTTCAAATGGAAAGTCTGGATAAAATAATTCACACGGAAATCAAGGATTTAGGAAAAGAAGTTATCAACATATTTGCATCTTTTTTCTAAAATAATTTCCTGCTGAATGAGGTCTTAGGGATGCATTCCTAATAATAATGTAACATATAGATACAGCCCTGAATTGTTTGGGAGTGTTCTTCTGAATATCCAAATGTGTGCTGCATGTTTGTGGCAAAAACACATGAGGAAGCTGAAAAAGTTTATATTCTGTTTTGTTTCATTTTTACAGTGATCTATATAACCTGTGTTCACTTCTATTATTTTAAGTTGCAAAGAGGACAATAATTTAGAACAGTTCTGTGAAACATATACTTCAGAATGACTTCAGACTTGTAGGGATGAAAGGACTAAAGAATCCTCAAATGGTAATTTTAATTAAGAAATTAATGCCTTGTCATTCAAACTTGTTTTTTTTTTTTCTCAGCAGATCTGTACTTAATATGTCTGCATTTGTGTTTGATTAGGAACTGCTTTTGAAGAGACATCTCCATTTAGCATGCTTCAGCCCCTGGGATGGTCTTTGAGTGTGTGAAGTGGATTATTTTTGGATAAAATGTGTCTAGGAGATGATGAGCTCCTGGTGTGTGACATTTGATGTTCATTTTGTCCATGGCACTGGTGTGCAACTAGTCTAAACTAGCCATTCTAGAACATCACAGCTCTAATTGCACTGAGGCACTTGCTGATCATGGAATCACTGAATATGCTGAGTTAGAAGGGACCCATCAGAATCAGAGTCCAGTTCCCTTGCTGTACATACAAGGTGGATCTCCTTGCTTACACTGTCACCTCATTTTGGAGCTGACAGAAAGAATTCAGTCCATTAGTATTAGCAAACCATATTAGCTTGTGCTTAAAAAAAAAGCATGGGATCCTCAGCCCATGCAAATAATCTATCTGTAGGGTAACAGTATTGTGACAAAATTACAGTACTGGTGATCAGTTAACATGCTGTGGATCAGCAAACACTGTTATGTGGGAATGCAGGAGACAAAATAAGTTAGAACACTGCTCTATGGAAAGACAAGAATAAACTCCAGACATGCTAATACAAAGGATTTTTCACTGGCATCCTCTAAATACATTTGGGAAAAACACTGTCATGATGACTGCACTGAATGTCCTCTGCTCTCCATGGCTGAAAAGAAAAAATCAAACTATTTTTAGACTACTTGAGAAGCCCTTTACTGTATGGGAATTACCAGCTGGTGACACAAGTTTGTGTTGGAAACTATTATCTCTTAGCGTTTGATCTAGTTAAGAATAGTACCAAAGAAAACTGTATGCATTCTTGCAAGTCTTCTTCAACTTGACTGAGAAAGCAGAGGAAATTGTCAAGGCTGTGGTAAATTACAGGGGTTTTATCATAGAACCTACAGGATGGTTTGGAAGTGACCTTAAAGATGATGTTCCAATCCCCCTGCCATGGCATGGGTCACCTTTCACTGAACTGGGTTGCTCAAAGCACTGTCCAGCCTGGACTTGAACACCTGCAGGGATAGGAAGTCCACAGCTTTCCTGGGGAACCTGTGCCAGTACTGAAGCTGTTTTGCTTCGGCATTTTCTGTGATTTCCACTAGTTAATCACTGGCACTGTATGTCTTATCATGTGGGTTAAGCAAAACTCAAGAAACATCTCATAACTTCACCCTATGCCCAGTATGTTTAAACCATTTCTCTCTGACCGTGAGCAATTGCCTTTCTAACCAGTCTTCCATGCTTTTGTCACTTTTTTCTTCATCCTACTGAACAAAACTTTAATTTGAACTACCAATATGTTAAAATCCCTAGAAGAATTTTAAATAAGATATTTTCAAATAAAGGCTCCTGACAAATGTCTGCCTCCAGAACTTCAGTGTAGTTTTCATGGCAGAGGCAGAATGGTGAAGGTGATTGCTAGGCTGAATTGCTGGACTGAGTAGCTGCCTGAGTAGGAGCTGATCTGAATCACTTCCAGAATCCACACATTTGCACTTGGTGGCATGCATCAGTGGCAGCTCTTGCTCCTGTTGGGTACAAGCTGAGCACAGAGGTTTGGAGAGTGGCAAGGTTTGGAATTACAGCAAGGGAAGAAGAGGTGCATGGGAGGAATCCAGGGAAAGCTGGGAAAGCTGCTTTACTGCAGAAAGAATTGGGGTGAAAGAAAGTTCATTGGAATTGAATATGAAGGCTTCAGGAAATGAGCTTTAATAGTACTTACGTGGATTGTGTAGGTGTTATGGGACATGTAATTGTGAAGGTGTGCACATATGGGGAAACTTCCAGTAAAAGCAGCTGTGTCATTGATTGATAGGATATATTCAGTAGGCCCTGAGTAGGTAAAAAAATAAATATGATGTGAAAAGACCAGATTTTTGCTTGAAGTCCTGCTCTCTGCCTTGATAGTGTGGAAGTCAAAAAGTTACACCTATTCTGCCCATACTGTAAGTACGTGTGGCAGGGCAGCAGACTCGTGAGCTGGCCAAGCCCAGTGGAGAGGGAGGCTTTAGAGCTGTTTAAATCAAGGTTCAGGAGCACCAGACAACTTCTCTGCACCTCCTGGCACATGTGCCCCTTTTCCCTCCTGGCACCACAAGAAACCTCTCAGACAAGTGAGGAACGGGCAGCTGGTTGCGGGGCCTGGGTGGCCAAGGGACAAACCCCATGCCCTCTGGATGCACTGATGGTACATTGATGAGGTGGGTGGAATAGCCTGCTGCTTCTTTCAGAGTTGTTGGAAGTCCCAGAAGAGTGAGAATAGGGTAGTGAAAGGGGATGTGAATAGATGTGAATAGGGTAGTGAAAGGGCTAAAATGCCAAAGAATGAACTGAGGTGTGGCCTTGCCACATTCCTGCTGTGCAGCGACTCAAAAGATAGAAAGAGCTGTCATCTCTGCATCCACAGGCTCAGAGGTACAGGGGCTCCTCCAGAGCCAGGTGTGATGTATGGACCCAGCCTCTTGGCCAAACTAATGGTACTTTGGTTCAGACTCCAAAGGAAGCAAAGGTCTAGACTATGACCAGGCTAAAACTTCTCTAGTTCCAACATTTTCTCTGGTAGCTCATGCAGGAAAAGGGTGACATGGTGAGCATTAATGCTATAAACTTGGAAACTGGAACTGGAAATATGTGATTAACACAACAACAGCAGACATTTGTCAAGGAGTAAAGGGGGTTGTGGGTACAAGGAGTCTCACCTTTACCTTATCCATCACTTGTAATTGACTGTGAGACAGACAGCCTACATAGCGTCTGGACTTCTCTGTGCCTTCTCTGCCTGCTAATGGTAGTGGGGTGATCTCCACTGGAGCTAGAACAGCTCTCAGGGTCGCTTCTCAAGGTTGAAATACCCTTTACCAACTGCACTGGTACGTGACCAACATAGTGCATAACCTTGTATCATAGGACATTAAGACTGCATTGGTAACTTTGAATCATTACTGCCTCTTCTGTGCTGTAAATAACAGAACGAGCCCATTGTATAACAACCATTTGATAAGTTTCACAATATCTTCAATAAAACCACAGTTGCTGCTATGGTTCTTCAAGTTGTGGAAATCTTCTTGTGTCAGAGGGACAGTGGCCTTTAGGGGTCACGATCTGTCATTTGTGATGGGATGAGACAAGGACCTGAGTGGGCAGAGGGGGAGGCTGACCTTGGCTGGCTGTGGGATACCCATTGTGATGCAGGAAGAACATGAGGTGGGAAAGCACATGTATTTTGATAAAGACAGGCGTGAAACTGATATTTCTGAGTCTGAAAAGGTTTTCAGCCTGACAGTGGTTGATTTTCTTCCCAAGGGAAGATTTCTCATGAGAGTCTTTCTTTCAAGGACAATTTCTGCAAATAACTTACGTTTCTCAAAATATATCTGTGCAGCTGTGCTGACTGTGTTTCTCTTGTTCCACCAATGAGACTAGAGAGGTGTTGTTCCCTTCTACCTTAACATGATTATGTTAAGTCTGTATCAGAACACCTTATAAAAGGTACTAAAATGTAGACAATAAGGCCTTCCGATCTTCTTCTGCCTTTGAATTGGAGTCAAGCATCTTTATTTTGTGTCCAGCAGTGACAGACAGGGAGATCACTTACCCACTATCACCAGAGTCACATTGCAGTTAAAGAATGGCACCAGTCCCACTGAGACTCCAAACCACATGCTCCCTGCTCACTCCCTCCTCTCTCTGCAGCTTGATGGAGAGGAGAGGAGGCACCAAAGGCAAAGATTGCAGGTTGAGATAGGAACAGTTGACTGCAAAGAGCAATGAGATATGAAAACAAAAATAACAGGAACAATGACTGACAGTGCAAGCAAGAGGCAAACATTCACACAGAAACAATGCCTGACCTGTCCATCCACTGTCCCTGGGAGGGACCTCTTCCCTTCAGAAGAGGCTCCCTTCCCTGTGGGAAATTAGAAAAGCCTTACAGAATAAGGCTTTTTCACCTTTGTTAAATCCTGTTCTCGTTTTGTTCTCCCAAAGCGCTCTGGGAAGGGTTCAGCTGCGGGTGGGAAGAGGGGGTTGATAGCCGCCTCCTGTGTGAAGCAGCGCTTGGCTGGGGAGACGCCTGGATGCCACCTGATCAGAGAGCTGGCTGGCTAAAGGGAGGCGTGAACTGCAGCGGCAGGCAGACAATGCGTGCTTATTGCGTTAAATTTCGAGCATAAAAACGCTTGGTTCGTGACAATAAACGATCTCCAGAGCAAGCAAGGGGCTCCGTGTGTCTTTGTTCCCCACTGCTACGCTTCCCCTGCCCCTGGTAATGATGTGGTTGTACAGAATAACACCCATAACATCAGTGTCCTGCACATACCCCTCCTGGTTATTGCAAAAATTAACCTTGTTCTAGCTGAAGCCAGGACAGGACAAAATGGACTTCACCTGGGGAAAAGGATTTGATTTGTTGCTATTAAAATAGATGCCTAATAATAAAAAAGCCTTTGATATTGAGAAACAAACCCCAAAATTACCCATCCCCCCACCCTTCCTTTTTCCCAGTCTTGCCTTCCTTCCCGACTCTTTCACCTCCGCTCCTTGAGCAGACCAGCGGGAAGGAGGAAAGCGGGTTGAGAGCAGTCCCAAACCACACCTTTCCTCCTTCTTCCTCACTGTTTCTCTGCTCCCTCTTACAGACCGCAGTTCCTGCAGGGAGCATCATCCACCTGCCCGGCCCTGGTGCTCTCCCGGTGCCTCTGCAAGCAGAGGCGCTGGCACGGCGGCTCCTCCCGCCGAGGTTTCCCCCCTGTGCCGTGCTCGCCGTCCCTTTCCTCCGCAGGCTGCCCCCGGAGCCCGCCCGCCGGGCTGCGGGGCTGCGGCGGGCAGGGAGCGGCGCTGGGGCCGCTGCAACCCCCGCGCCGCAGGGCTCAGGGAGATGGCAATGTGCCCAGGAGGCCCTGTGGGGACGAGGCACGGAGGCGATACGGTCACACCTCTGCGTGGGTCGGTTTGCCCCTGGGAGACGGAGTTTGCGCTGCCCTTGTGCCTCCAACAAGCCTTGCACGTTCTCTTCTGGCCATCTCCACCACTAAAATCGTCTCCCAGAGACTCGTGCGCTTCCTCCCCTTCTGTTCCGCTCCTTCCACCCCACCCCGTCCTTCCCAGTGACCGCTGCCGCTTTGAAGGAAGAGGCAGAAAGACCTGATAAACCTGGTTGTTTGGAAAAAATGAGGGTAATGGGAGGAGGAGGAGGAGGAGGAGGAAAAAAGAGGGAGAAAATAATTACCAAATGGGAGGAACAGCACTGTGTCAAAATTTTAACAATGAAATCATAGAGATCCAAAGAAATGTTTGGAACAGGGCAAGAAAATCAGATTGTTTCCACTGAAAAATTTGCTTTTTTTCCTCTCCAGCTGCCCCATTTGTATCACTGTAGGTGCTACTGAGCACACTGCAGGCAGAGTGTTTTGGGGTGTTCGAAGAGAAATCAGCCTGACCAGGAAGCTTAAGAGAAATGTAACACATTTGCTCCCCTGTACCTCCCTCCCCCCAGGTACTGTGTTGTATCTGTCCAGGTGCATTTACACCCGTGCTCATGGTGAGGAAGACTCGTCCCTATAGCAACCCCTAGGAGTTTTGCCTCTGAAATCAATCTCTCTAAATGTCTCCTAAGATTTTAATCCCCCTATGTTTACGTCCTTGTAGCCTGATACCCAGCCTGTAGACATTTTTATGATTGCAGGCTATGTGTTATCCCTTACGCCATGAAAAACAAACACAACTCATGCACAAGCAACTCAGAAAAAGTTCAGGTATATAGCAAAGTGGAAAGAGACATTAAGCATAAGATGGTTTAATTACAATTTTTATACTGATAGAGTTAATTTCTGTTTTCTTTAAGTAGAATATGGAGAAAGAAGAAACTTGGAAAAAATTATGAGGCTAAACCAGGTTGTACCTTTTTTGGTTTGGGCTTGTTGTTACATAAGTACCCAGGAGACTGATTTTTTTTTTTCCCCTTGAGTGATTTCTGCTTTATTTTCACAACAAAACCCCCAGAAAGCCCTCTAGGAAGCAAAATGAAGATGTGTAGCAGCATTTGCATCACCTAGCTAATATCTGCTTCTTGAATGATGCATCAGCTTTTGGGTTTAAAATCTTTGGAGGGAAAGAAAAATGCGGTAAATAAAAAATATACTTGCCTCTGGGTTATAAAACATCTCAAAGAATGGGTGGATACAGCTGACTAAGATAAAAAAAACATGTTGGGCTATTTGTCTAAGCCACAAAAGGAGAATTTATTAGACTTCACAGTTTCAGATGCTTACTAGGATTTAGCTGTGTTCTAGAGAAGAATAATGAAAGCCATCAGTGATTACAGCATGCTGAAAACTGGCATCTGGAGGTATCAGGAGAAGGCTGAGTTGTCTGCACTAGTGCAACAAATAAACTTGAAAAGCAGCAGGCTGAAACATGAGGTTGCACTTCAGTAATTGGGGAATATATTTATTTTTGTCTTCTGGAAACAATGAATAGAATTAATGGAATAGAATAGAATTACTTTGTCTAAAATGGTAAAATATTTCCTTACTACATCCATGTCCTAAAAATATATCACTTTTTAACATTTTTAAAATAAAATATTCTGTAGTTCATTACAAGGTATTTTTCTTTAATTACTTTTGAGAAAAAAACAAAAACCAAACAACTAAGAAATACATGCTGTGTTGTTCACAGAGGCAAATGAGCAATTAGAACTCTCATGCAGTTTATCCAAATTCTCTATTCACACTCTTTGTGCTAAGTACTATATAAAAGCCACAATTAATGAGACAGAGAGTGTGAGGTCCTTTAAGACAGTTACCTGCACTGTCTTCACCCTGTTTCTCTGGGGATCGCTATTTTGATTATTTGTCTTCGGTTTCAGTCTCGCTGGGGCTGATGTCATACTTCCACTGTCCAGGAGGAATTGTGCAGCACCAAATCCAGGCTGTGCCATTCCCTTCAACTCTTTGGTAAGACCCTCCTTGCTGTCTTGCTCTCTGCTCAGAACACCCTTCAGAACCACAGGTTTTCAGAAGGTAGGTAAGTACCTGGCAGATCTCTTCTGCCTATTGCATGACAACCAGAAGTTGCACATGATTTTATAATTAACTGTTTAAGTTCAGGTATAGAACCCCTCTTTTCCAGATACAGCAGAAAGTGTCTGGGTTTGGGAGGGAGAACTCATGAGGATTTGTGTTATTTTACTTGGAGAAGGATTTATTTGCTCCTCCAGACCCCTGTTAAAGAATGGGCCATTGAGCTGTCACCATCTTTGTCAGGGTTCTGGTTAACCAGCTAAGTTACAAGAGATGAGATCTATTTCTTCATCTGGTCTATTCCCTACCTGGCTTCAAGATTATCCTCTGAACACACATGCACATTTGTGGCTGTGAGAGAAGGCACAGAATAGACCGCCAAGAGGTCTTTCCACAGCTTTACAGTTCAGTCCATAGCTGATCTGAGAAAGATTAATTTATTCCCATTCTTAATTTGGCTGGCATCAGATGTCCTATAGAAATTCCAAGTTGTGTACTTGGATGTGCCACAAAATTGTCTTCTGGTTCCTGAGCCCACAGATGTCTCTGCAGAGCTAGGCTGTGAGGAATGTGGGACAATTGCAATAGGTCTGTCTAATCCGTGTGTGCATTGGGGGATTAAAGACACAGGGGCAGCATCTCATCTTGCCCTGGTGAAGGCAATGAACATGCTCACGTATCTCAGCCAGAATGTCTCCAATGGCACAAACAAATAAAACCTGAAAACAATGGGGATTCACTCTGTCAAACCCTGCAGACACTAGCTTTAGGCTGCTGAGATCAAACGGGCTGAAGTATCTGGAATTCTGGTTACCACATTTCACACCAGCTGAAACATTTAGCTGTGTCATCTGCAGGGATCATAAACAGAAATATTAAATTTTTGAAAAAACAGATACAGGAAAATATTTCTTTCATGAGAATCATAAACAAATGTAATTCCTTCCAAATCCCAACAACTTCTGAAACTGCCCTCTGAGCAGAAACATCTGTGCCACAAATAAGACTCATATATATATATGAGTGTTATAATATAACACAGCCTCTGATTTTCTTCCTCCCTTACTCTGCTTTTAGCCTGGTCAACTGTTTCAAGGCTCTGTGCTTAAATTGCCAGTTCTTAGCCATACACTGTAGACACAATGGGATGTTCAGCTGTGAGTGATCACCTCCAGAAAAGTACTTGCTGTGTTAAAAAGTATGGGAGAGCCCAGGTTTTGGTGTAGGAAGAGAGCAATTGGTGGTAATCCTCAGAGCTGAAATTTTTATGGAAGAGACCAGTGTTCAATACGTTGCCCTGGATTATCACTATAGTCAAACTAAAAATAGTAAAAGAAAAAAAAAAATCAGTTTCAGTACCAAGAATACTTTCCTTTGTATAATTAGGTTCTGCAGACTTCATAGCGGATGTCTGTGTCTCCCTCATTTCCATCTCTTCTCAGAACACACTGTGGAGGATAATCAGCCCTGCTCACTTTTCTAGTCATGTTCTGATTAATTTTTTTTGTTATCTCTCCTGGAGATTAAAATTCAACATTATATACTAAAGTATATGTATGTGGAGACAGAAATCTGCTACATCTTCTGTGTACTATATTTTTCTGAGGTGCAAGGGCATTTGAAACACTATGGAACAAGATGCTTGTTCTTTTGTGTTAGTATTTAAAATGAGGTCTCTTATTTTGGGTGTGTGCTTCTAAGATAACTTTTAGGACTTAGTTGTCAAAGCAGTCAAATTTTTACACCACCACAGGACACATGGAAACTCTGCATGCTTACACTGATAGCTGCTGATGGCTTTTCTGCTCCTGAACCTGGGTATACTGTGAAAAAACAGACATGGATGATGATCATGCATATTCATTAAATGCTTTAACAATGCTAGATGTATAGCTGGACTCAAGAGGAAATGTAGGGAGCAAATCCTTTCAAGGACTCCAACTTGAGTGCAAATGAAGACCAATACTTACCTTCCTTATAGTGCTGCTCTTCAGTCTTTATTCGTTTGTGGACCCCTAACAAATTTCCAGTAGGAAAACAGGCTCCCCCAACCAGTAAATGTAATTGCCTGGTAATATAATTCCTTTTTTAACCCTAAAATGATACTCAAAACTCAGAGCCAAAACAGTTGGTGTCAAGCCTCCCATTGTGAACAGTGTCACACCTGTCATTCTTCGGGTTACTGAAGAGAACAGGAAACCCCCTCTGAAACAGGCTGAAAGCTATTTCACCTCTCTAAAAGACATCCTCTTCAGGTGAAACAAAGTCACTCCTTTCTGGTTCCTATTCTCACTTTGACTGTCACCCTGCAGGAAGTGGCTGCAAGAGAGGAAACCTAAGGCTTGGAGTCCTGCTTGTCTGGCTGGTCTTTCAGCAGTGGTGAAATGAAGATCTTCGCTGGGACAGGGTTAGGGCAGGAGTCCTGAAGTACAGGGGTAAAATGATAGAGGCCACTGTGCTCCCTTTCAGAGGTGATGGGAGAGACTGGGCAGTGCCTGGGGGGGAGGGCTGGAGGAACTCCAGAAATCTTAAATTATTTCTGGTTGTGTTGGGGGTTAAAGTCTGAGACACTGGTACTGTACATATTGCATTAAAAATTTTAACTAAGTATCTGCACAAGGTTCATAAGAGGTAGCTAATATTCATCCTAAACCTATGTTGATGGCAGAGAGGTGATAGATGGCGTTTGTAGGATAGACTCAAAGAACCCACAGACCTCCCTGGGTACTTTGTTAGCAGAGTGAGCGATGCTCTTTTTTCTACTAAACCTAAAAGGTCCACATTTTATTTAATTTAAAAAATAATAATGATAAAAAAAATTCTTTCACAAAGGAGTGGGAATCAAAAGGCCAGCAGCTTAGGTTTATTCCGTTGGCTGGAATCTCCGGGAAGAGCACCGTGGATCCGTAGGGTATGTCGGCGACACGGCTGGGGCAGCAGCGCCGCCTGCGGGCTGGCGCGGGGACTGCGTGCCCACCTCGGAGCCGCGCGTGGTCGCAGCGCTCCCGAGCCCTGTGTCCCATAAACACCAGAGCTTTTCCGACGTGTGCTTAGCGAATTAGGGAGTGGTTTCGGCCATGCAGCTTTTGTATATGCTCGTGATATTATTTTAATACAGTTTTAAAATCAAGCCTGTTACTGAGCCACGTTTTGTTCTGCATTTGCTGCTGACTAAGGTTCTATAAAAGCCTTGTGTGGATTTCACCTACTTATCTTAAAACTTTAAATTACAAGTCTGTTTATATCGTTGTATATGTTTAACAAATATGAGCATTTCTCACAAGGGTGGTCAAATGAGTGATGTCGTGGAAGAAAACTGCAAGGAAAGCAGTGCTTCCCAGGAAACCTCTGCAGAAAAAAACGTGTCTCCTGCTAAGGACTGCTCAATAGGATACAAGAAATTGGTATGACTTCTCCAATACTATTTTATTATCAAGACATTTACAATTGACTTCAATTTCTTCAGTCATTACAAAAATAAAGAGCTGGAGTCAAGAGAGAAATATCAGTAACAATAGTGAAATGGATTACGTTTGCAGTACAGTGATTTAGAGGGCTAAAAGCAATTCTAAGGAAGTAGGGAAATAGAATAGTAGTCTTAGAGGAAGGATTATCATCATACCTTATTATTCTTTTACAACTTAAAATTTCATTATATATGATCATGAATGGTGATGATGCTGGAAATCTACCCCTAAGTGCAAAGCAGACATGTCTGAGTAAGGTACATGAGATTGTCCTGTATATTTTCAGGAGGATGCAGCTGAAGATGCACAGCATCAACCAGCTTGTAAAAAAGTGTAATCAAGTGCATGGATATTTCTGAATCACTGTATCAGCAGGCTGGGCTGAACCACCACTGTTTTGCCCTGAGAAACAGTGAAAGCACTCAAATGTATGTAGAAAATCATTGTGGACTCTGAAAGGAATGACGCCTTCCCAGGGAAGCTAAGAGATGGCAAGGCAGTTCCATTTACATAACAGGAGAAAAAGATTTGTATGTATTTTTGTGCCTTTACACAATAAATGACAAGTGTATGGTGAAAGTTCATAGTCATTGTCCAAAGGGACATTGTTTGACATGATGCTTCTGTTTGTTTGCAGTGACTTCAGAAATATCTGTCAACATACATGGACTATGTGGAATAGTAATACACAGAGATAATGTTTTAGCTTCCAAAAGTATTCAGCCATTTTAGTTAATTGCAAACATGAATTCTATAAAATTGGCAGAAAAATGCATCCTCCTCTTTCTCAGAAAACTGTGCTTAGTTGAGCTGCTTTGTTTTTGTCTGTGTGTTGAGGTTTTTTTCTCATATTTCTCACTTGTGCAAATACTTCCTTACTGTATTAGTTGCTCCTTCAGACATTTTTCTTGTCCTCAGATTGTTTGGACAAAGATAGTTTCTAGGCATGTGAGGGAACAGTAAAAATAAGAGTGAATACATTTGAGATGCTTATAATCATAGTATTTGCTTTTACAGTTTGGATGAAGCTGAGGGACAAAACACATAATTCTGCCTCTCACATGGCAACATGCAAACCCCACTGTACCAGAGTCATGTGTACAGGGCAATGGTTGCTCCATCTCTGGTCAGGATACACAGTCAGTAAAAGGAATACTTGATTAATAGTTAGACAAGCAAACATTTTAAACAATCACCTTAATCTTATAAGTTATCAGGAATATGAACTTTGATGTCATTCGAAAGCCAGTGAGGACACTTGGCTGCTAATAAATACATTTTCCAACTGTACTAATTACAAACTTTCTGTTGTTTATTTATAGCAAAAACTCGAGAAACAATTAAAATGCTTAACCTTTCAAAATCCAGGACCTCAGGTAGCTGACTTCAATCCTGAAACTAGACAGCAGAAAAAGAAAGCATGCATGTCACAGATGAAACAAAATTTTTTGTATGAGTCCAAGTAAGATCTCTAATTTATTACCCAATTTACTTTAAAAAATGGCTGGTAGGCTTCTCACTGAATCTAAATAAATTAATAAAAGCGTTGTATTTTGCAAAGTGATTTCTAATTACCCTTGAAAGCCATGTTGGAAAAGCAAGATTTTTTTTTCTGTGTGACTTTAAGGGAATTTTGATATAGTATGGTATACTTAATTTTTTAGTATCAATGGCTAATGCAATTAGGATATAATGTTGCTATTTAATTTTTCTGTGAGTTTGTTAAAGACTAAATACTTGTGCAGATTTTTTCTACGTGTGTTTGGTTTAGTCTCTGAATGTGTTGAAGCATTGTCTGACAATTTTTGTTCTCTTTCACAGATTTACAAAGAAGTATGACAAACATGGCAGGCTGCTTTGTAATGACATAGATTTATGTGATTGCCTGGAAATGGACTGCCTGGGTTGCTTCTATCCTTGTCCCAAATGCAATTCAAACAAATGTGGACCAGAATGTCGCTGCAATAGAAAATGGGTTTATGACACGATTGAGACTGAAGCTGGGGATGTGATCAGTGCACTACCATTTTTTGTCCCTGACTGATTATGTTCTGTTAGTTTTTGTGTCTGAACATTGTTCCTTTTTCTTCATGTTTTATTGAAGTAAATCTTGGTTTTATGAATTGTCTCTAGTGAAGTACCTGGCAGTGGTACTTGTGCTTCTTTATTGCTGCCTACCTAGCAAACTTTACCATTTCCCGTAAAGTAAAAGTGTATATTTCATTCTTCTTTATCCTTGTGATCTTTGCTAAGGTGCCTAGTCAATCCTTTCGAAACCTTGACTTTCTAAAATTGAAGGTGTCTGAACTGTTATGGGAAGATAATTTTCTTACCCTGAGAAGCTGAACTGCATTACTTGTAATGAGGGGTTTTCGCCAATTTCTCTGCTTGTTCATTTACTCAGATGTGTGACATAGCTCCTTCTTTTGTGTAGGCTTGTCATAAGAGCCTTTTCATCCTGGTGCATTCATTCCTCATACAGGTAAGGCAGGAGGCATTTGAGATAACACTGTCCTTTGAAACTAGGTCACTCTTTTTCACGTTCATCTGTATATTAAGCAAAGGAGAGTGGAAACAACGCTCAGCAATTCTTTCTTGCTGCCCAGGCTGAAAAACTGAAACCAACATGTTCAGTCAGCACTATTTTTTTATAGCATGTGGCACATTAAATGTCCACCGGTCATCAATTATATGGCTAAAAACAGACTGGATATTTTTCCTTCTGGACAGAAAAATCTCTTTCGTTCCAGAAGTCTCCTTGTCATGTAAGACATGACAGATTTTAATACACTTACACCCAGTCTTCTTATGAAATAGATATTCTCATTAATGATAGGCATCCACTCCCTTTCTGAGGAGGGAGGGTTCCTCTGGATCTTGATGGCAAGAAGGCTGCAGATGGTTGCAGTGTATTTCCAGGAGCATGCTGCTAGTAGGGGAATCATTCCTTGGGCCTACTGCTTGTTTGTTTTTGAGGAGACTCTCCCAACTTTGAATATGGCACCACTTTTCTCCTTTACCACAGGCCATTCTCTGTGACAAAGACCTACTGCTCCAATACAAAAAACACCTCCCAATACAAGAAACTTGGGAACAGATCCCAAGAATGTCTTAACACCAAAATCTCCTTCTGACTTACTACCTTGGAAAGATTTTTTGTTCCTCTCAATTGATGACACCTTAAGCTTATATCCAGGCAGCATGGGCAACAAGCTGGAGGAGATGGAAGCCATTGTGCAGTGGGAATGCTGAGACACCATCACCATCAGTGAAACATGGTGGGACAACTTGCACAAATGGAATGCTGTGATAGATGGCTGCAAACCTTTCAGAAGGAATGGGTGGGGGAGGAGAGGTGGGGAGGTAGCCATGTATGTTAGGAAGAGTTTCAGTTGTCTCAAGCTTAATGATTGTAAAAATAGGGTTAAGTGTTTCTGGGCAAGGATCAGAGGGAAGGACAACAAGGCAGATATCCTGGTAGGAATCTGTTGTAGACCACCAGCCAGGATGGAGAGGCAGATGAGATATTCTATAAGCAGTCACAATTGCTTGCCCTTCTTCTCAAGGGGGTTTTCAGCTTTCCAGATGCCTACTGTTGATACAATATAGCAGAGAGGGAAAAAGAGTCCAGGAAGTTCCTGGAGTATACGTAAGACCATTTTCTGACACAGCAGGTCACCCAAGGGGAGGCACCTGTTGAGCCAGTTCTTTGTGAACAGAAAAGAACCGGAAGGTGATACAGTGGTCTGAGGCAATCTTGAGCACAGTGATTATGAAATGATAGAATTTTCAATTCTCAGAGAAAAAAGGAAGGGGATCAGCATAACTGCCAGAAAAGAAATAGAAATAAAAAAATATTAATAATAATAATTTTATTTTTTTTTCAGAAAAAGAAATAGAAGGGACAAAGCCCAGAAATTAATCTGGCTACTGCTGTAAAAGACAACATAAATGTTTTTATGAATTCACCAAATGTTTTCATAAATACATGAAAAAATGTTTGGAGATGCATTATGACAAAAGATGAGGAAAAAGCAGAGGTACTTAGTGCCATCTTTGCCTCTATCTTTAATAGCAAGACAGATTTTTGTTTGGATATCCAGCCTCATGAACTGGAAGACAGGGATGTGTCACTAGTGGACACAAAATAGGATTGTGGATTCAATTACAGCAGGCAGAAGAAGGTTTTATTTCAGTTTTTTTCAGCCCCTTTTGTGAGGTGCTCCAATACAAGTTTAACCTGATTGGTAAAGAGAACCTCTCTTGACCCATTGGTGAGACAAGAGAAAACACTCAAGACATCTGTACAATATTGTTTTGGGAACCAAAAACCTATTTACAAAAAGAGTCCTTGAGAGAGAAATGTTCCCAAAAGCCTTTCCCTTGGGAACAGATCAGCCACTGACAGGCTGAAAACTTTCTCAGACTCAAAAAAATCATGTCCACAGGGATGGGAATCAGAATGAAGCCTGCATATTAAAGGGGGCAATGACCACTGACCACTTTGACAAACACAAGGTTCATGGGGCTGGCTAGGATCGACTGAAAGTTACAGAGGGAACTGTCAGCAAAGCTCACCAAACTACTTATCATCATATACCAGCAGTCCTGAACAACTAATGAGGTCCCAGATGACAGCAGGTTAGTAAATATTTTGCCAATCTACAGGAAAGGTTAGAAGGAGGATTCAGGGAATTCTAGACCTGTCAGTCTGGCCTCAGTGCCAGAGAGGGTCATGAAGCATGCGCTCTCACTTGGCATGTAAGAGGGGCAACCAGGGGATCAGGCACAGCCAATCTGGGTTTAGGAAAGGCAGGTCCTGCTTGACTAACTTGATCTTCTTTTGTGACAGGATGACCCTGCCTAAAGCATAAGACTATGGATGTGTGTACCTATACTTCAGTAAAGCCTTTGACACTGTTCCCCACAGCACTCTCCTGGAGAACCTGACTGCTCATGGCTTGGACAGGGGCACTGGCCCTGGGTTAGAATCTGTCTGGATGGCCAGGTCCAGAGAGTGAATGGAATTACATCTAGCTGGAGGCTGGGCAGCAGTGGTGTTTCCCATGGCTCAGTGTTGGGGACAGTCCTGTTAAATAACAGGTTTGTGTGCCTCCTCAGTCAGCTCTGAGATGACACTGAGTTGGGTGGAAGCACTGATTTGCTGGAAGGTAGGAAAGCTCTGCAGAGGGATCTGCACATAATGGATTGATGGGCCACAGCCAATTGGGCGAGATTCAACAACATGAGGTGCTGGGTCCTTGGGCCACAACAACCTCATGCAGGAGTTGGAGAAGAGTGGCTGGAGAGATGCATAGAGGAAAAGGACCTCGGGGTGCTAGTCATCAGCAGGTGAACATGAGCCACATTTTTATATAAAAATTGTTGTGGGATTCCTGTCCAAATGGGGACTTAAATTAGATAACTTAAGTAAACCACAAGGTATTCAGCTTTCCTTCAGTGGTTTAAAAACTATGAAGAGCAGTCAGTCCTGGGAAAAGTCAGATCTGTTCTAGAAAGTCTACATATTTCAGTTACAAGACCACTAAACTGTTCCTCCTGGCATAAAATGAACTTCTGCATATGGCAAAGTGCCAATCAATCCCACCGCATCATTAAAACTTTTTTTTAAAAATAAATAATTTTTTAATTCTTTTTCAGACAATTTTCATTATCCTTTTAAATATCTCCTATAGGACCACATTTGAACTTTGTCTATTGTTGTGGTTTTAAAGCAGCAACTAAAAATTCACTAGAAAACTTAGTTATTTCTTGCTGTGAGATATGGATTAGAACAAGAGCAAAAGAGGCTTAAAAGGAATAAAGAAAGCTTATTAACAGAACTACAAGAATAAGAAAACCAGAATAAAACTTCCAGAAAACCCTTTTATCTCTCACTACCCAACCATTCTCTTGTTCACATGATCACATAGAGACAAAAAAACTTTGGTGTTTACAACAGTCCCAATTCTTGCTATAGTCTTTCCATCAGTCTTTGTAGAGAAACAGAAGTCTTCTTCTGCTAATCTATGGAGTTTCTCACAAGAAAACTATTTTTGTTATAGCTTTCTATTTCTCTGATGCCAGCTGACCGGAAATCTGTCATCAGTTCTCTCCTCCCATTTCACATCACTCTGAGGGGTCAAATGAGTCTAGGGATGTCATTTTGAAGGATGAGTTACTCAAAGGCAAAAGTTTTCTTCATTTGTCTCTGTGAGCCTCCCTGGAAACAGAAGTTTTCTCTTTGCCTCTACAAAGCTACATATCTTCAACTACTACTTCTCCCTCTCTGTTCCAGCACCTCACTGTATCACAATCACTTTACTTTATGTTCAAAATCCACACTCTGAACTACTCTATTCCTCCCAATATACTCTGTCATAAATTAAAGGTGTTTTTTCAGAACACTATTGTCCATCTCCATAGCTTTAACAGAAAAATGTTCAGCTTATTAAAGCTTATTTCTCCTTATTCTCTACCTCTTCTGAAGCTTAGTTCTTTTCTTTACTGTCTCTGAGAGTTTATAAAGTCTATTTACATGTTGATTAGTCTCTTTTTCTTTCTCTGGATAAAAGGATTAATCTGCAAGTCTCATCTGGGTAATGAAAAGGTTAAAACCTTGCCCAGGCTTTGTAGATGGTTCTGTGACCTCTGCTGGAGCAGCAGCTGGAGCTGTCTGCGATGGAAGGTTCTTCATGGCTGCTCTGCAGAGTGTGGTCACTGTCTCAGCCTGCTGCAGGTCAAGTAAAGCTTTTTTTCTTTCTTTACTCGGCAGTCTCTGGTGAATTCAGTCACAGCAAAAGAACTGCAGCCGAGCCAGGGACCGGCCTGGCCCGGCCCGAGCCCGGGGCAAGCCCCGCAGGCCCCATCTCCCAGCCGGGAGCCGCGGCAGGCCCAGCCCAGCCCCTGCCTGGGCCGCATGGCCTGGCCAGGGGATGGGAAGCCAGCTAAAGCTCTGTTACCTTTCACAGCCAGGAAACAAAGAGACAAAGAAAATCCCAGGCTTAGGTCTTAACCTGCTGTTCACAGGTTGATCTCACTTTTCAATGATCAAAACTGCTGTCAATTCTTAGAAATGGCCAGCTGTTGGCCGGGAGAAAAACTCCCACCAGCCTCCAGCACTTTTAACTTCCTTAAGTGTTTCTCTTTGTTTTCTTAAATGCCAATCTGTCACATCTATATTCATCCTTACTACGGTAAATACAGATTTGACTCACCTTAGGGCAAAAAACAACAGATGGACTAAAGAAATATAGACCAATACTTTCTGAATAAATATTCAAATGTCCTTAAGTACATATTTGCACCAAATGCATTACAGCTGCTACAGCTCTTTTGAGTTGGCATGGCAGGATGGGGTGATGAAGGGAGAGCAGTGGATGTAGTCTACCTCAGCTTCAGCAAGGCTTTTGACATTGTCTCCCACATCATCCTTGTAGGTAAGCTCAGGAAATGTGGGTTAAATAAATAGACAGTGAGATGGATCAAAAACTGGCTGAATGGCAGAGCTCAGATGATCATAACAGGTGTATTCAGCTTGTTTGTCAATGACTTGGATGAAGGGATCGACTGCACCAGCAGCAAGTTTGCTGATGATACAAAACTGGGGGGAGTGGCTGATCCACCTGAAGGCTGACATTCAGTGGGATTTTGACTGGAGAGCTGGGCAGAGAGAAGCTGTATAGGTTCACTAAAGGCACGTGTAAAGTGTTGCACCTGGCGGGGAACAACCCCAAGTACCAGCACAGGCTGGGAGCTGACCTGCTAAAAAGCACTGATTCTTTATGTCTGTGAGTGTTTGCTATACCAAACACGGAAGAAATACTGCTCTCCTAGATTTTTAACTGCTTAAACTGTTTAACTTAAGTTGTAAGTTACGTTAAATGCTGTTAAGTTGAATTTCTGTTTTAAATGCTAATAAGTGCTGTTTGGTCTTTGGGCTGTATTCCTTTTTATTCTTTCCCTATCCACAGTGTGCCTTGGTCATCTAGTAAGTAGCAGAGAGGACCTATAGAAGCTCTTATATTAAACCTGTTTTTACTGATACTTTTGCCAGTGATTCTTTAAACAATTTTAAAACACTCATCCATGGTATGGGTGCAAGTGCAAACCAGTAACAGATGAATGGATATTTAAGAAGTCACAAGTTTTCAGAGTTCTTTTTTAGTAACCAAAGAGGTATTAGGATAAAAAAAAATTGGTTAACAGTGCATTTGACAGCACCTTGTCAGGTTAGCTTCATTATTTTTTGTTTTATTTATTGCTTTATTTATTGTTTATTGGTGCTCTCTTTCCTGTGTTTCTTCAGTGAGGGTCTGCATACAAAGTCATATAGGGTAGAAAAAGCCTCCAGGGCCCACGAGTCAACCTCCTATGTGAAGCAAGTCCAGCCTGGAGCAGGTTGCCTAGCTGAGTTCTTAATATTCATTCTCCTGATTATTCATTTTAAATATTCATCTGATGCAGCAACATGTGAAAGAAAACACTTTAAAATAGGTCCAGATTGCAAAACCAGAGAATTGGCAGCAATCCTGAGCAGCACATCTAATACCTGTATCAACTGGAACTTTATGACATAAATAAGGAATTGTCTAGACTTCCAGCTACCCTTGCTTATTTTGCCTGAACAAACTTTATACAATTCTACTCTTGGGGAAGATTTCCTAGAACAAAAAGATATGTTGTTTTTTTGGGTCTTTTTTTAATGTGGAGCAAAATGCTCATTTTTCTTTTCCAGCCATGTAAATTTCTTGCAAGAATATTGTTTCT